CCTGCCTCCAGAGGGTTAACACATGAAGTGGGAGTGGAGTAACCCCCAAATTCCACTACCTACGCTCCGCTCCGACACGAACGCCGGAGCAAAATCGGTCCCGTTGTAGTCAATCAGAGCAATTCCACTACTGCGGCCGTGCTCCGGCAGTGTGGCACCGTGCGCCGCCCTCTGTTCCGGCGTCCGGCAAAAATAGAATCAATCCTATTTTTGCCGGACGCCGAAACACCTCCGCAGTAAATGGACAGAAATCACAACCGCCCAACAGGAAAAGGAGCAAGCACAAGTTCCGTTTTCACAATAAATCGATAAACAAAAGGCGTTTTTTGTTTCATATGCACAGGTTTAACAACTTTTAACAACTATCAGTGGCGGCTGAAGTTTAAATGCACAAAAGTAAGCCATAAATACAGTTTCCACTATCAAAGTAGTCACACTTTGTTGATCCAAACACTGCTGATCTCTCAACACAAATGATGGGCAGATTAAACAGTTCATGTCGATGCTTCTCCCACACAACGGGTGTTTGGATCTAACTTAAGCGTTTATTGCTCGGACTGTATCGCAAGATCTCGAAAATCCCGCGCATGCTTGTTTGCCCACCTCAGGTCTCCGCACCGGAGCGGAGCCGTTGTAGAGCGGGTAGCAGTAAAAATTGAGTTCGGAAGCGAGCGGCTGCGGAAGGCGGGGGCGGACCGGAGCGGAGCGGAGGTAGTGGAATTTGGGGGTAAGTTTATTGTAGGGGGTGACTTGCTCTTTAATTACAATGTTTTTGTTATTTTTTAAAGCCAATTTCAAAACTAGAATACATATTAGAATGTTTGCACCTCCCTTTCATCCTTGCCTGTTGTTCTTAACGGTTTTCACGTTTAACCGAAGTACCCAAAATTCTTCCTATGGCAGCTAGACTCTTCTGTTGATTTTATCCTTCTTTTCCTCTTTTCATCCATCAGTCATAACACTTTCCCTGTGCATCTGACTGTGTGCATCGGGTCTTCAGTTGTAAAGCACCTTGGGGGGTTGTTGGAGGGGGCTGCTGAGATTTCCCGACCCCTCCAGCCCATCTCAAAGCCATGCTTTGGAATCAGTTCCAGGTGAATGCTGCTGGATACTTTCAGAACCCATCTCCAGCTTCTCTAATCTTCTCCTCGCTAGACTGCCCCTACAAGCAGGCCCGGTGTCAGGGGGGTGAGGTGTATCTGCTGTGCTGGTTCCTTGTGAATCCAGCTGTAGACATTAAGACATGCAGTTTGCATTTTCGCCAAGGTTTTTGTGGGGAAGCTGTTTGATTTGTAAATGTGTGTGGCTGCCCCGGTTGGAGTGAGATATCTAGTAGGTGCAGGGGTATTCAGATACTCTCCGAGCACACACCACAAGCTCGGGAAAATGAGACTAAGGAGCCATTACAGAATCAGGATGTTTCCCCAAGTATGCATTAGAAAGACTGGGTGTGGAGGTGAACTCGGGACAGATGGGTGGGACTCACAATCTGTAAGTGTCCTGGATCTTTCCCAGGAACTGTCGGGACTTCAGAAATGTGCATCTAGAGTACAGTCCAGGATTTGTGTGCTTGTGCCTGAACACCTCATCTGGTCCTGCAGCCGGAACGCGGGGTCAGGCCTTCAGGGACCGAGGGAGTCTGTGTGTAGATCCACACTTTTATCTCAGCTAGAAAGAGGAGCACCCCTTCCTGTTTTCCTAAAACCAGACATGCTCCAGTTGGTGCGTCCACATCCAGATAAGCACCACTCTGCACAGATGAGATCCTCCAGGACCAAATGGGTTTTGTTTCCTAGAACACACAAACGGGAAACGCTCCGCTGCCGGGCTGAGTGTGTTTAACGGCGTGGTTTGATGTTGAGGAGGCGTTTGTGTGGGAGAGAGGAAAGGAATATGATATTATGTATGCGTCTTTGTGAGTGCAAGCATACAGCCAGAGTAATCGGGTCCAGCTGCGGTCTGAAGTCACCGGTCACCTCCTCCTCCTCCTCCTCCTCCTCCTCCTCCTCCTCCTCTCCATCCATTCTTCATCTAATTACCAACCTTCCCTCCTGCTCCTCAGCGTTCTGATTCAGCTGCCTGTGTGTGATTTAGACCACGGCGGTTCGATTTCCTCTGCGCCTTTTTGTTTAAGTTGTCTAAAATTTCACAATGGTCTGTTATCGTTTACCTCTCAGCCTTGCTGCTTTAGATTTCCTCCTTTGATCTGTTGGTGTGATGTTTGTGCGTCTGAGTTGTGAAATAATGGAAGACGAAAACTTTTTCCGTTCATCCCCAAAGCAAAACAAAACCGAGTCTGTTTCAGCGTGAGACTCTCGTACAGCTGCGCTGCTCGCTGGTTGGACTAAAGCCAAAGGGACGGTTTCACAATATAATCTTGGTTTGGCTCCCAAAATAGCTTTTTTTAATCTTTCTTTATGCAAACTTCTTGGGAAAAGGGTTTTGTATGGGATTAATTTGATATCCCCATATAAATGTTGAATTTTGTAAATTTTAAAGTCAAAATCTAATTTAGTCCAGTGAAATTTACACATAACTGTGTTTTTCACATGCAGGATAAACTCTGTAGTTTAAGCGTTTTAGATCTGGTGCATTTAATCAAACAAATCATTTATAACAGAATTAGTTTTTTACGTTTTCCTAACAGGAGCCATCATACCGACAAAGTTTCTGTAACGAGATCAACAAAGGGAAAGATCTGACTCCAGTCGAAGGAAGGATGTCTGAAAAGGACAAACGTGGTTTAGTTAGACTTTTCCAACTCGAACTTAAATTAAAGCATTTTTTTATGTTTGGTTTTTGTTTATTCACTTAGCAGATGCTTTTACCCAAAGTTATTCACATTTTGCCTGTTTTTGGTCTGTTGGAAGAAACCGGAGGACTCAAAAGAAACTCACTCATGCATGGGAAGAACATGCATCCAGGATTTGAACTTGCAACCATTTTGCTGCGAGGCAGCAGTGCTACCCAACACATTCTAACTCCCAGCGCGTCAAAAACAAACGCTCGGTCAGCCACCCTCCACGTCAGACCCCTGACGCCAAAAGTGCCCTTTTTCGTTACTTATGTGCGAAAAGGGGTTTTTCCCTTATTTGACTGCAGATCTCAATGCAGCGTTACACTGACGCGATGGGATGTCCGCAGCCAGGGCACCAAACAAGCTCAGTGTACCTCACCTTAACCTTATCCTCTTATTTAACCTTCCCCTCACCCCTATCCTAACCTTAACCATCTTGCTAGCGAACACGTTAGTGATGTGTCGATCGCTCTAAAAGCCGGCTCTATGAAGTGAACGGCGGGAGGCGCCTCGTCATTGGTCGAGTTTGGACCGAGCCAACGCGAGGGGGAGGTTTCAACCACCACGGTGGAGGTTAAAAGTAGAGGGTATGTGTAACCTCCCCCTCGCCAGATGGTATGTTCTAACGTTCCCCTTGGGCGGCAAATACGAAAATTCACAGTCAGACTCTGACTGTCAGAATGCATGGGGAACAAACGCTTGATCACAGTGAGAGTAACGTTTTAGGTAGCAAGAGGGTTAAGGTTAGGATGTGGGAGAGGGGAAGGTTATAAATAGTGAAACGTTAAGGTTTAGGTGCGGTTAAACAAGCTGGTTCGGTGCCGCATCAGCGGATATCTCATCACGTCAGTTTTACGCTGCATTGGGATCTGCAGTTACAAAAGGGAAAAACCCCTTTTCGCACAAAAGTAACGAAAAAGGGCGCTTTTGGCGTCTGGGGTCGGACGTGGAGGGTGGCTGACCAAGCGTTTGTTTCCGACGCTTAGGGTGTGAGAATGTGTTGTGCTACCAACTGCATCTCCATTCAGCCCAAATGTCTTTAAGGTTTTACTAAAGTTCTGCAGATTTTTCTTCAGCTTTACTTTCTGTTTTCTCAAATTACAAACAAAAGCCCTTTGTGGTCGTGGGTCACTAGCCTTTTTTCATGTGTAGACGTGTCTTTGGGCTTTTTCAACTACATATCTAAATGTTCTATTAGCATTTAGCAGATTAAAGCATGACAATTAAATCAGTAATACCACATAAAGAAAATAACATGACAGTTCCGCCTGCTTGTTTCTATTGAATTAGTTGGTGGGAAATATCCAAGTCATACATCACTTTATTATCACAACTTGGATTCATTTTCAACTAAATAATGGAGTTCTATTCATGCTAGCAGGAGGCCACATGGTATCGTTAGCTGCCGTATGCTAACAGTTGCTAGTAATGGTAACGTTTCACCACAACCTGCGGTTAAAGGGATACTTTGAAACTTTTTCATGATTTTAAACAATTTTCTTTAAGGAGTATGTGCTAAAATGACCCTTTACAGGGTTAATGAAATGTCACTCAGACCCCACTGCCCCCTGTGGCCAGAATATTGCACTTGCAACTTCAGAGTTGCAGGTTTTGTACTGAAAAGAGCATACCTGCGGACATTTGCATGCCCTTTTGTGGGAAGGTGCATCGCTCAATAGAGTTGTGTGCTGAGGAGGTAAACAATCAGAAACACGAGTAATGAGGCAGCTTTTTAATACATTTGTATTTGTGTGCTTCCTTACAAAATGGAGGTTTTTGGGCAGATAAATAAAAGAAATGCCATTTTTAACACGTTTTATTTTAACAAAGCGAGACAAATCTTTAAAAGGTTATCTCAAAATATTTTTTCTGGTCCCCAGTTTGTCATTTTGTAGTTTACTAACAAACACTAGGGGGTGCTAAAAGCAAGCCAAAACTCTTTAGTATCCCTTTAACATACATTTGGTGCAAATCGCTAACTTATATTAAAGCGGAGCAAATTTAGAAATGATTGTCAAGTAATCACATATTTGTCTTTATTTACTTTCATAACGCTAAAGTGAGCAGGCTCAGAGTGTGTCACATCTAAATCAGTCCTGACAGAAATGGCCCAGCTTTGTTCTCAGTTGTTCTAACAAAAGGCACGCCCACCTCTAGTTGGCCTTGATTTAAAAACAAAAACACACCTGTTATTTTCTTCCAGACGGAGCGTGGGGAGTGGCTGCAGTTCCAGGCTGACCTCCAGGTGGCGGTATCAGTGGCAGACCGCCTGAGGGCTGAGGCAGAGGAGGAGCTTGCGGCGCTTAGAAAGGCCAACAAAGATGTTGAGCGGGAACTGGCGTCTGCCCATCAGACGACAAAAGAGGCTGAAATGCAGCTGGTCAGCCTGCAGGGGGAGCTGCAGGACACCAGACAAAGACTGGCTGCTCTTGCTGAGGCCCAGGAACCAGAGAAGCCCAACGGGGAGTCCAAAAAGTCTGGCAGAGGGAGGGGACTGGAAAGTAAAAATCTGAATGAAGGGATGAAACATGCTAACGAGGACGCAAGGACAGACTGTAAAGGTGTGACTCAGCGATACCTGAGAAATCTGAGCAGTGAGGACAGAAATGGAGCTGATGAAACACGGAGGACGGTGTCTACAGAGAGGTCAAGGTGAGAATGACATTCACTCAGCGCTCTTTCCGAAATGCACAAAATAAAACTTTATTTTTACAGCTGTTAGGATTCCAGTGTTGATGATCTTTTCAAAACAAAAGCCCTTTTGTCTTTTTCGTGTCTTGCATGCACGGGTGAATTACGATCACCAATTTTGGCGAGGAATGTGCTTGCGGTGTCTTAAAACCACAGAGCTTCTCGGGGCCACCTAAGGATATCAGTCCAACTTCCAGCTGTAGACGAATGAGACAAGTGTCCCTAATAAAAACAGCCAGTTACACAATGTCTGTCTCCACTGTGCTGCAGAAGCCTGTCCAGATTACCCGCCTCCTCAGAGTCCCTCACCGTGCAGAACGGAACGTCCCAGTCCAGCTCAACTCTGGGTCCTACACATAAGGTGATCTTCTGAGGGAGGTCCTTCAGTATCCTCTAGGATGCTCATTTTTCCTTGTTTTTTTTTTTTTTTAGAATTCCAGACCGCTTAAAGGACGGAGAAGTCTGGATTGGCAAGACAGCAGGTCATTCAGTGATGCAGGTCAGAATCAATTCAATTCAAGTTTATTTATATAATCCCAACAAGAGTCGTCTCAAGGCACTTCACACAGTAAACAATCAAGAATGCAAGAGAAAAAACAAATCAACAGGAGTTAAAGTCTTAAATTAAACCATTTTTCACCAAGGTAGCCATTTACCCGCTTTAGTTTCTCATTTTGCTGTTTTGATCTTCCGCATTTTTATTAGCTTCCTCATAATTACTCAGTCTTTTTAATCTTCAACATTTATCGTTTTCTTAAATCATAATCTGAGCTGCACTAATGCAGCACCTTCACGCAGAAAAAGTTCACATTTCTTTGTACTAAAGGTCCAAATGTGTGGGGTTAAATATTAACAGAAGAGCAAGAAATCAATTCATATGTTGCTTGTTGTTTTCGGAAAATGACGTCATCCTGTCTGATCTAAGCTTGTTTTGTTGGACTAAAATAAATCAATGCTGATTTGAAGACGTTCGTGTCAGCAGATGTTCCGCTCCTAAACCCTTCAGACTCGAGGGATTAATTATTAACCACATTAATAATTATTAATAATAATTTTCTTTATAATATTTATTCTATGATTCTGTTGTAGGCTGAACGTGACACTTTTTTTGAGTGATACAAATCTGATATATCTGATAAATTAGCCAATGATTTATTGAAGACTCCTAAAAGTGTTGCTACCTTTGCAGGTAAACGTGAAGAGTCTTTAAACAAGTACAACTCAGCGCTGAGTCAGATGCCACCCACCAAGTGAGTCCAGATAAACATACATAGCTGTCACTGAGACTTATGTAAGCACCGCATCCTGTTAAACTTCAGTTATTCTGCAAGAAGCTCTCTACTGAGTGTACCGGTGAATGCGTGTCTTAGATCATAAATCCTCATCTTTGTGTTGCCTTCAGGTCCCAGGATGGTTTTAGTCTGCTGCTGCGTCGCCATGGAGGCTCCAAGAGAAACTCGCTGCTCCGCTGGTGTCAGAACCGAACGCAAGGCTACGAGGTGAACTCATGAACGCTGAACCGGTGCATGTGGATGCATCTGTTAAAGTCTGAATCTGTTCCACTCCATGCAGAGCATTGACATCACCAACTTCAGCAGCAGCTGGGCGGACGGCCTTGCCTTCTGTGCCGTCTACCACACCTACCTCCCCTCTCACATCCAGTATAGCGCCCTTAACCCAGAGAACAAGGTAGGAAGCGTGCACGTTCCTCCTTTCGTGGACAAGAAATTCATGCTTTTTGACTTGTTAATGTTCTACACAGAAGGAGAATCTCAGTCTGGCGTTTAAAACAGGACAGGCTGTAGGGATTTCACCCTCTCTGGTAAGAGTCGTAGCTCTGTAAACACATAAAATGCAGGTTTTGCTTGTGTTTTGGTTTTTAAATTAGGCTTAAAATTTTTGTTCAGACAGTAGATGAGATGCTGAGAGTGGGTGGACCTGACTGGCAGAGGGTCCTGAGCTACGTGGAGAGCATCTACCGGCACTTTGAAATGTGACCGCAGGAGTAGAAACAGAGGGACCCTTCTCAGAAAAAGACACCATTTTCTGTAATCAGTGCTGCCTGTTGATGGCAAGGCACATGATGAAGTATTATCAAAGAAATCAAAATAAACGTTTAAAGCATTCTTGAATTAGACCCTGAGACAGATTCTGGTCATTTTCAGTTTGATTCTGACTGAAAGGGAGACTAGGCAGTTCTGGCTTGCTTCTAGCACCCCCTAGTGTCCATTTAGTAAACCCAAAAGTGAAAATTATCTCCTCACTGCGTGTTTGTCTTTTTAACACCTTAATCTAACAGCTGAAATGTCTCCTCAGCTTTCCTTAGTTTCTACCGGAGCAATTCACCGCTAAATCAAACAAATCAGCTGTGTTTATGATCTAAAAGGAAAGTGCTGGAAGCAGACCGTAGCGCTGCCGTGCCAGCTCCACCATTACTCAGTCCCAACCGGCACTCTGAAGTTGCAAGTGTGGTATTCTGGCCACAGAGGGCGGTGGGGGGGCCGAGTGACATTCCATTAATCCTGTAAAGGGTCATTTTAGCACATGGCACAAGAAAAAGATTTAAAAATATATATTGAAAAGTCACACACTATCCCTTTTAAGGTGAATGTGCTGAGAGCAGGACAGATGCTTTTAACCTCAGACCCTTAATATTAACAGTTTTGATGATGACGTTGAGCTGCTTTAAATGTCTCAGCACTGGTACTTCACTCTACTGTACAATGTTAGAATCTATATGCAGTTTTTTACTGTTTTGTCTTCATGTGAATAATCCTGTACTTCTACACCTTTCAACCCTAAATGTGCACATTTACGGTCTAACTTTGAACTGTGCATTTTAAATGTTGCAGAACGTCAGTATTTTTTCAAGCTTTGCAGAACATTTGAAAAGCCTTAAAACAACAGTAACGGTAGCGGTGTGTGTTTGTAAAAGTGCCTTCATGTTATGATTTGTGTACGGACAGCTACGAGCATGCACAAGCTTACAAATCCAGCGTCAACCTCCTGCCTGCACACTCACTGATGCACAGCTAGTGTTGTTAAAAAAATGTTAAAATCTGTTTGTGTTGCCAAAATTTGTTCTGATGCTCTTCTTTGTGAAAAAGACGCTGTTGATATGTAACAAGAATAAGAATATGAAGCCAAAGCAATAAACTATTGTGTTTTTGTGAGTTTGGGGTTTGTTTAACAGCTGCTGTAGTGAGAAGAAATGTTGGTTTAGTGAAAATGACGTCATTGTTGAGCTGGAGTTGGGAGGAGCTCATGTTTGAAGTGGCGTTGTTTTACCACCACCTGCTGGTGAGAAAGAGGCACTGCAGGTGTTTATTGTGAGTGAATTTTTTTTAACCGCAGCCACTTTTTATCCTTCATGCTGCCAATTTTAGAGCTTGTTATTCCTGTCACATCCATTAGTTTCCATCGCCACACTTCTAATCTAGGAGATGGTTTTCTATGAAGTGTTCTGCACAAATTAATTTTGGACGAGTTTAAAAAGCATGAACTATTTTAAAACACCTAAAACACATAATTCCTGGATTGTTTGCATCCAACTTCTGCAGATTATCTTCTCTAATTCCTTCTAGACATGTTTCTCCTCAGAATGGACTCAGTAACATTTAAAAGCAGCTCTGGGAACTGTCTGAATAGAAAGATGAGACTACCCCCGCCGGGCGAAGGTGATATCAGAGCATCCTCTTCAGCTTTCTTTTTGGTCTACAACAATGAATCTGTGTGCACAAGCTTGTGAGCGTGACCCGCCGTCGTTCAGGACGGGAGGAGGAGTTTTGTCACTCGCACCAACAGGTGAGGTCTCGTTACGTGAAGCCTCGGCCATCAGTTTAAGGCGTGAAACCAAACTTGAACCACACCAGGACATCATGAGCAGAATCTGGACCCTAATTCTGTCTTTTGCCGTTTCTGGTTTGACGCAAAATGCATCCAAGTAAGTCTGATCTCCATTTTTAATGAGAAGACATGTTGTTTGAAAGGTGATTAATGTGTTTTTTTTAGTAGGACATTGTTTCTGATCTCAGGTCCTGAGGTGCTACACGTTGACACGCCCATTCCTCTGGCTGTCACCGTTTTTGCTGATTTCTTAGTCAAACTGACAGCTGATGTTTCTCATGGCAACACCACAGTAACCCATACGGAAAATATCCAAGGAGGTGATGCTACAGTTACGCAGATTTAAACTCGATTTCTTCTGGAGAATAAAACACAAAACTTATTTCCTCTCTTTAAAGGTGTAACAAAGGTCTTCATGCTTCCTCCTGTAAGTAAATGTAGTATTTCCAACCATGAATAATAACAATATTGCTTCATCTTGATGTTATTTTCTGATCAAATCTCCAGTTTCCTGGCCCTTTATCCCAAAATTCCCTGTTAAATCTGACGTTGAGGGGATACAGCAACAGCAGCCTGATTTTCACCGGCACCTCCACCCTCACCCCCATTCTCCAGATCGTCTCGTCCTTCATTCAAACGGACAGATCACGATACAAACCAGGGGACACCATCAAAGCCCGAGTTGTTTCTGTGCAGCAGGATAACAAACCCTACAAAGGCACAGTACAAATCTCTCTGATGGTCGGTTTCTACTTTCTGCCTGAGGAGCTGATTCTTCTCTGTTTAGTGAAAACCTCGACTGATGTTACTTTGTCACGCAGGATCCCAGTGGGAGAGTTGTTGACGTTTGGAACACCACAGGGAATCTAGGGATCGTCTCGAAAGAATTTAGTTTATCCCAGATGTCTCCTCTTGGACAGTGGGTGATCGCGGCCACGGTGAATGTACGCTAGAAAAACACTGATGTGTTTATCTTCGTTAAAGTCAGATCTGTTGTCTTAAAACAAAAAAAAACCTCACTTTTTTTCTTACCTTTTATGTGTTTTTTCACAGGGACACACTGATGATGAGGAGTTTATTGTAGAGAATGAAGGTGAAATATCCACCAATAACCATTTAAAATGTGGGTAACGCTTCTTTTCACAGTCCCCTAATTACTAAGTATTTGCATGGTGATTACATAGTAAGTTAAAGTGTATTATTGTGTAATTAAAGTGTATAATTGTAAAAAAGTGTCATTATTGTGTAAAGCAGGATTTACTGGGAATGATTAATAAAAACAAAAACTAGAATTGAACCTGAGTTACATGGTAATAACTGTTTAAGAACTAAGAAACAATAAAACACTTTAACTTACTATGTAATTACCATGTAAGTACTTAGTAATTAGGGGACTGTAAAGGAAGCGTTACCAAAATGTGTTTTTAAACTTAAACTTACATGTAAATTATCACATTTTATTGATCTTTGCAGATGATGTTGGCTTTGTATTAAATAAAGTTGCATTTTATCGTAAAGTTCAGCACAATTGTACACTTTTGCATAGACTTCACCTTAGTTTTGATGCCCAGAGCACTAATGATCTATTGCATAACTTAAACAGTTTTAAAAAGGTATAAATAAAGATTTTTCCACCTGTTGTTGCAGATGATCCTCCCTTTGAAGTTCTCATCGAGACATCTTCATACGTTCTTGTTGGCGATGACATCACAGGATCAGTGAGAGCATCGTGAGTAGTGCATTCTTCTCCTATAGGCTGTTTTCTTTGAATCCGCAAGAGACCCTCCTCTAGTGTCAGGGTCGTGACCCTTGAAGAGGGCCTAAGGCTTGGTTTATGCTTGACGCATTTACTTTCTGCTTGGTGATGCGGCTCGCGGATGGAACGCGCTACACAACTTGCAGCGTTTATGGTTCATGCGGCTTGTCTCTGCGGTGAGCCAATATTCTCCCAAATTGAAGGGGGCAGCATGGAGCTCTACGGCATGCATCCAACACTACACCATGGTAGAAGTAAAAATTACTGCTGTTTACAACATGGCATTTCAGCATTTTTTAACAGCGTCCTCGCCTTTTCCGACAGTGAGATCTATTTCTCTCCAAGAATTACTAACAACATGTTGATCACGGTGATCTTTGAGAGCTGAATCATATACAGTGGGGCAAAAAAGTATTTAGTCAGCCACCGATTGTGCAAATTCTCCCACTTAAAATGATGACAGAGGTCAGTAATTTACATCATAGGTACACTTCAAGTTGTGAGAGACAGAATGTGAAAAAAATCCATGAATTCACATGGTAGGATTTTTAAAGAATTTATTTGTAAATCAGGGTGGAAAATAAGTATTTGTTCACTTCAAACAAGGAAAATCTCTGGCTCTCACAGACCTGTAACGTCTTCTTTAAGAAGCTTTTCTGTCCTCCACTCGTTACCTGTATTAATGGCACCTGTTTGAACTCATTATCTTTATAAAAGACACCTGTCCACAGCCTCAAACAGTCAGACTCCAAACTCCACTATGGCCAAGAGCAAAGAGCTTTCGAAGGACACCAGGAAAAGAATTGTAGACCTGCACCAGACTGGGAAGAGTGAATCTACAATAGGCAAGCAGCTTGGTGTGAACAAATCAACTGTGGGAGCAATTATCAGAAAATGGAAGACATACAAGACCACTGATAATCTCCCTCGATCTGGGGCTCCACGCAAGATCTCATCCCGTGGGGTCAAAATGATCATGAAAACGGTGAGCAAGAATCCCAGAACCACACGGGGGGACCGGGTGAATGACCTGCAGAGAGCTGGGACCACAGTAACAAAGGTCACCATCAGTAACACACTACAACGGCAGGGAATTAAATCCTGCAGTGCCAGACGTGTTCCGCTGCTGAAGCCAGTGCATGTCCAGGCCCGTCTGAAGTTTGCCAGAGAGCACATGGATGATACAGCAGAGGATTGGGAGAATGTCATGTGGTCCGATGAAACCAAAGTAGAACTTTTTGGTATAAACTCGACTCGTCGTGTTTGGAGGAAGAAGAATACTGAGTTGCATCCCAAGAACACCATACCTACTGTGAAGCATGGGGGTGGGAACATCATGCTTTGGGGGCTGTTTTTCTGCTAAGGGAACAGGACGACTGATCCGTGTTAAGGACAGATTGAATGGGGCCATGTATCATGAGATTTTGAGCCAAAACTTCCTTTCATCAGTGAGAGCTTTGAAAATGAAATGTGGCTGGGTCTTCCAACACAACAATGATCCCAAACACACCGCCCGGGCAACAAAGGAGTGGCTCCATAAGAAGCATTTGAAAGTCCTGGAGTGGCCTAGGCAGTCTCCAGACCTCAACCCCGTAGAAAATCTGTGGAGGGAGTTGAAAGTCCGTGTTGCTCGGCGACAGCCCCAAAACATCACTGCTCTCAAGAAGATCTGCATGGAGGAATGGGCCAAAATACCAGCTACTGTGTGTGCAAACCTGGTAAAGACCTATAGTAATCGTTTGACCTCTGTTATTGCCAACAAAGGTTATGTTACAAAGTATTGAGTTGAATTTTTGTTATTGACCAAACACTTATTTTCCACCCTTATTCTTTAAAAATCCTGCCATGTGAATTCGTGGATTTTTTTTTCACATTCTGTCTCTCACAGTTGAAGTGTACCTATGATGAAAATTACTGACCTCTGTCATCATTTTAAGTGGGAGAACTTGCACAATCGGTGGCTGACTAAATACTTTTTTGCCCCACTGTAAATGTCTGTATTTACGAACCTCTGCCATACTAGTTCTTGCCAGTCCGCCATGTTTTTCCGCATCCGACCGTTCGCGTGGTTGGAAAATTTCCTAGGTGCGCGGTGCGGAAAGTTTGGGCCGTGCAGAGGTGCAGTGGAGGGGCGTGGTTGTTAAAATGATGCAATTTTGCCGTGCGGAGCCGTGCGAACCTCGCGGACGCGTCAAGCATGAACCAAGTTTAACTTAACAGTCTTTCTTCTTGCTGTTTCTTTGGTTTGCAAAACCGATTGCTAATTTTCTGTTTAAAGAGGGACTGCACATCATCAGAAAATGTAACTCCACTCCTGGTCAAGATTTGAAAATGCTATAAAAGTGGGCGTTGCCAAGTGTGGGGAATTTCCATCCTGGGAGGGAGGGGGAGTGGGAGGAGACTGTACCGGTGACGTGAAATTGTACCAGCCCCAGTAAGTCAGAAATGTCAAATGCAGTAGCCGTAGTTCAACCCACAGGGGGCAACACTGAGACATTTTTAGACCTAGATTCTACGTTTAATCAATTTTACACAAACAAGCCAAAAAAATGCACAGAAACAGAAATATTGCATTTTTCAAGTCCCCGTTATACAGTTTATAAGCAAATAAATGTTATTTTGGGGTTTATTTACTCTTTAAATATTTTTTAGGGGTGGGATTTGATTAAATAATTAATCTAGCTTTGTGATTAATTGCATTTTAATCATTCAAGACAATTTGCTCCCCAAGCAAAATTTTTTAAAATAAAAATAATGTTAGTGAGGCACGGATGACATACCCACACTTTAATGAGTATAGAGCTCCGGACCCCACGTGACTCTCAGTTAGTAGACGCCATTTTGGCAGGTAAAAAAGGTAAACAAACACGGATGTAACCATGAACGTGAACGGGATCCGCTTGGATTTTACTTCGTCGGAGTTTACTTCACACTTTAAAACCGAAGAAATCGTTTTATATAGTCAGAAATTAAATAGACTAAACATCTCCGACCCTTACCGTGCCCCTGGGATACTTTTTTAAAACGCCAGAAGCTGTCGGAGCGGACTACACCGGACCTGGCCGGGGAACCCCTTGGGATTCCCCCGGCTGGAGGAGCTGGGGAGAGGTCTGGGACTCTCGACGCTACTGCCCGCTCTGACGCCAGAAGCTGTTGGAGCGGACTTCTTACTGGACCTGGCCGGGGAACCCTAATGGCGCCGTTTCGATTTGAACTGTTGCATGCCGGGAAACGTGACGTCAACTCCCGGAGCTCTATATTTCTGTAACCACAAGGTCTCTTGATTGCCATTGGTCTCATTATAAAGGTAACCATTGTGGGATTTGTTGGGACGTGTAAATATTAGTATATGTGTTATGGATGAAGTGTAAATGGGCAGAGCACTGCAAATAGAGGTGTAGTATAGAGTTCAGGGGAAGTTCTGCTGAGAGTTACACGATAAATGCTGCATGTTTGCGTGTCCCTCCTGCTGTCTTAAAATTCATACGGATAAAGTTACTGCCAGCCTTCTCGGCTTGGAAACATAATAGTAAAAAAGTAGATTTTTTTCCCTTTCTTTTCTTCATGACAAGCAATTAGTCAAGATTTATTTATTTGTAGTTTTAGTTGTGTTTGGAGCACGTAAAACGGGTTTACAAGGTCTTGTAGCCCAGACTCGGTAGTTTTGTTAGAGGTGCAGCATGATGATATTTATTGAAAGAAATTAGGCAGAAATTATGATGCTAAACTTTTTTCCAGTCACCATTTGGGGGCGCTCAAGCTCAAAGGGTACATTTTTAAAGCATTATTATTTTTTCTGATTAATTCTTTGTAATGAACACATTCAATTCCTACCCCTAATTTTTTTGTCTAGATTCCCGAGTGGACAGCCAGTAGAGGGCACACTGGTTGTCTCCATCACTCCTGCATTTCAAACACACATTAAAATGGTGAGATTCAAATGTTTCTTTGTTATTCGACAGAAACTAAAGCATAAAATAACCCCAGGCTGGTTTAATTCTTTCAGACTCATGGCTCAACACCATTTTTCTTCAGCAAAGACCAACTTCAGGATTTAGAGTTTTCACCAGAGAATAACAGCAAAGTTTTCTACATCACTGCCCAAGTCAATGACAGCATTTCAGGTGTGATATCTTTACTCCATAATACAAATGTATATTTCAGCAGCATCAAAAGTTTTTTGTTTTTTTAGGACTGACAGCGAAGAAAGCAGCTGAGGTCCATCTCATCTGGAACAAATTCCAGCTCATGTTCCGTAATTTTCCATCACCAATAAAGCCATCTTTAAACTTCTCTATAAATGTGAGTAAAGTTGTCTTTTAAATAATTCATTTATTAATTATTGTAACTGTTAATCTATGATGTAGTCATTGTGTCTCACGCTCCACAGCTTCAGATCAGTAGATATGATGGAACACGGCTCACCTCGTTGGATTTAAACAACTCTGTCGTGGTTGAAGTCACCCAGAATACTTCAATCAGGAGCACGGAGCGTATGAACCTCACACTTCCTGTTCCCGCGGATGGCAACGTTCTCATTCAGTTTAAATTACAGACTCAAGTGGAGATCCTTTTTATACAGGTGAGTAATTGGAGTCAGTTCATTGGAATAGCTCCTACAGAAAAACGTTTTGTTTTATGTAAGAGACGTTTAGATAACAAGTACACAGAGAAACCATCTTTTACTTGTTGTTTTTGAGATATTGGCAGTCACTCTGAGTTTCTCGTACAGGCTGAACATGAAAATAGTCTTCTACCCCTATTTCCTGCATTAGCTGCTGATAGACGGGGTTAATGCCTGAATTTTAAAAATCCACTCAGATCTATATCACACTGAAAATGAGCATTCATGGGCTCAACCAACTTGGCGGTTGTGGGCTCATACACGGAGGCGACAAACGACCGCGATCAGCGAAATTCGTCGCTGTCACTTTTATTACCTGACACGCGGGAGGCGACCCGCGGCAGCGGCCAGTGGCAAAGCCGTCTACGCGTTCCGTTCCATTTGCGAAATTGAAACTCCCGTTGTTTTGTTTGGCTGTGTCAGGTTGGAGGGAATTAAGGTTATTTAAGCGGTTCAGAGTTAAGAAAGCGGTAGATATGATGTTTCACAAGGCGCTGCTAGTTATGTGAAGCTCAGGGAAATCCGTCACAGCAAGTATCAACTTCTCCTCCATGTTTGCCCGGAGATGTACGGAGCATCCTGTCCGCTCATTGGCCAGTGAATGAAACCTCCGTTGATTGGTCCTTGTCCGAACTTTCTGGGATTGCGTCACTGGGTCGCCTGTGCACGACAAGTGCACAAACGCGAAATTTCACACGCACGTTTTTTGCGTTTCGCTTAGTAGGAGGGAGACCCGTGATTATCGCTTTGTCGCGCATGTCTCATTGAAAATGAATGGGAGAAGAGGCGATTTCACCTCCCGTGTATCGAGCCCATTATCATTCAGGAGAGAGTAGAGCATGTCTTGGCTAATAGAAGCTAACTGTTAGCATTAGCATGGCAGAATATCTTCAGGCTTGTGTAATTTATGGAGAAAACACATCAATGTTGCAGAGCATAGTCAGTGGTAGAGTTGCGTTGCTGTTAGCCAATCAGAGATGAGATGTCTAAATATCAGGATATAATAATGAGTTAGACTCAAAATCCTTCCATTTTCCACTCCCCTCTCCTGCAGCTCACGTCTAGTTCCTCATCAGGAGTGCAGGAGCTTTTCCACAGTGATAGACTCATTTTTACTAGAGACCACCAGAAATATGTTGAAAAAATATGGCTGCTTGGTGGCGCAGTGGTTAGCACTGTTGCCTCGCAGCACGAAGGTTGCAGGTTCAACACTCGGCTGTGGCCTTTCTGTGTGGAGTTGCGTGTTCGCCCCATGCATGCGTGGGTTCCGGGTACTCCAGTTTCCCCCACAGATCACAACATGCCCTATAGGTTATAAATTGTAAGTCGCTTTGGATAAAAAGCATCTGCTGAATAAATAAACATAAACATAAAAACAAGTGAACTTGGCCTTTAAGGAAAACACTGTTTGATACATTTCTGTTGTTCCAGACACTTTGTGTCATATATGATTATCCAAAGGAAAAAAAGACACCTGTTGAATATCTTGAATGAAAGTCCATTGATCAGACTGTTTTTGTTCGTCTTATATTCAGGCCAGATTCCAGTCTGCTGAAGAGACACTGAAGATCTACAGCAACCACTCCTCACCTAGTGGCTCGTACATCCAGATCTCTGCAGCCAACACATCACCTGCACAGGTAAAGCCAAACACATCATGTGCAATTAATTCATTATGTTACCAACACACAATTTATCATCTATCATATGTTCCAGACTGGGCCACCACTGCGACTAAATGTTGAGAGCACATTTAAACCAACAACACTCCATTTTGTGGTGAGTTAGCTAAAATACATCAGCTACAACTCAGCTGCAGACTAGGAAGCATTTGGTTTTCCATAGTAAGAACACGATGAGCATGTGGTTGGCTGGAGAGCAAACAACATGTGATCTAGTGTGCACACATCATTAGTCATTCAAGTGAAATAAAAAATTGTATAATCATGTTTGCAAAGCGAGGCAATGATGCTGTGCTCTTTTTAAAAATTCACGAAAATGTCTTATTTTGACCACTATTTTAGAGATAATGGTTATCAATTGAGGCATTTTAAATTATTAAAGCTATTGTTTGACTCATATGCTAAAAATATTCTATTGCTTCACCAAACAGTCAAACTTAGTGTTATGATTTACTAGTGATTATAAATGTGATTAAAAAAAAGGATTTCCTGAGTGTGTATTGGCATGAGTGTGGCGATACGATATATACATCACAATATGGAGGACCCGATAAATATATTGCGATATTAAAAGTATTAAAAGCCAGATAAAATTTGTATTTGTTAAGACTGAATTTAAATGGAAAACTCAGGCCAGACGCTTCCAAGACACATCCAGTGTTTTTGCAGGTTTGTGCTGTTATAGGGAGCCTAAAGCTTGGGGCACAGCGGAGGAAGACATTTTAAATAAAGGCCATTATAGTTCATGAGAGTGGGCACACAGGGAGCGTCGCACCACACCCCAGAAGTGCCTTAGGCGCTGAAGATAGACGCCAGTTCTATCTCAAGCGCCACAGCTGTTTACAACATTGTGGAGTACTTTACAACAGACATTACGATGCGGAACGGCTTTACGGCACAAACCCAGCTGCACTAACCCTAACCTAAAATACAGTTCTGATTACTTTAAAGTACTATTGATCTTAAATTATTCAAAGACATAGCGTACTTACCAAAACACGACGGCAAGTCTGATCACATATGAACAAAAGAGGCACTTCCCGCTTCTTATTCTCAAGTCCCGCGTGATGTTGTGACTGTCTCGTGACTTTCCAAAAAGCGCTGCGCGGTACATCCTGTGTGGCCACTTGACTTCTCAAAATCGCGGGCGTGACGCGGCGCGGCACGTCTGCCTCCGGTGTGCTCCAGGCTTAAGTCTCCTCCCTTTCTGGTCGGCTCATGGGTCCCCGGAAGAACGAAAAAAATGAATGCAAGTCAATGTGGCTAAAAGAGCTATTTCTAATCCGCTTTGCTGTAGACCCTGGGTCGCACATAAGTTGTACTGCAATGTACAAACAAATGCAAACAAATGTTTGAGATGTGTCAGCTTGTAAAACTCTGTAATTAGCATTACTACAAGTCAGACATCGGCACATTGCATATATGACATTACCACATAATCTCTTCTCCCCTAGTGTAGCTGCTACTTACCAAATGGCCAGATTTGTGGTGTTTTATTTCCTCTTGAAGGAAGGATTTGAAGTTTGCTGAACTTACTGACATCATATGTGAAATCCATGGCACATAACAAGTAGAATTAGAAAATAACACTTTTAGCCCCATTGACTTGCGTTCATTTTTTTCGTGCTTCTGGGGACACGTGGTTCGGCAGTAGATGGGCGTGACTTAGGCTCCCTATATCATTGTGAAGTAAGTATAAACTGCTGCCATCTAGCTGTCGGAGTTTGAACTGTGCCACACACAGGAAAACTATAAATATTTGGATTTCAATTCTGAATTAAAAAAAATCAATACACTGATTTAGAATATCGATTCAGCATCATGATCTCAATTATTGTGATATTTCAGTGTATTGATATTTTCACATGCCTATTCACGACAGATCTAAGTATTTTCAAATGATTGTATTTCCTCTTTTCCATTCATCAACTAAGTAATACACTGAAGACACCCTTCTTTTGGATCTTAAGTGCAAAAAATAATATTAAATTAAGCAAAAATAATCACATTCAGAATAATAACATCCTTATTTCAGACATATTTCCGTCCATACAGAACCAGTTTGGACTCAGATGTGTACAGACTTTAAACTACCAGAGTATGTTTGCAGGCACATACTGACTTTATTGAGTTTGTATGAACTACGTATAAAAGTTTGAGATGAATTGCTAAAATAAATATGATACCTCTTTTATGATGCTGTAATTCTAGGTGAGTTCTCAAGGTCAGGTGTTGGCTGCTGGAACAAAAAACTTCTCGTCTTCTTTGGATCTCATGCCAGCGTTGTCCTGGTACCCCGAGGCCTGTGTCACTGTGTATTGTGTCAGTTCTGATGGGGAGATCGTCAGTGACTCAGTGTGGATACCCATCGATCAACAGAGCCATGTGGGATTTAATCTGACATTTTCTAATAAATGTTATTATAGATAACGATCAGTCACAGGTGAGCGGGTGATAATTTGTTTGCTTGTATTTTCCAGGTGATTCTAAACTGGAGCAGTGAGCGGGCACAGCCAGGCGAGAAGGTATCGCTCACAGTGGCTTCCAATTATTCCAGGTTTCAAGTGGCAATTGTTTTAATGGCCAAGCCAAATGATCTACCAATGTCTGATATGGAGTTCAGGTCAAAGCAGGTATGGAAACAGTTGAAATTCATAGGCGGCTTAAAACATTAGAAGTGTTTGATAAGAGAGAAGATAATCCAGACGTGACATTTAGAGTTGGGATATTAAAGAAAAGAGAAACCGGCTGCTCTAGATGTAACCGATCTCCTTGCTTTGTTTGGAGTCACGTTTTTTTTACGAGATGGAAACAGTAAAGTTTGGAATCCAGGGCTTGAACACAACAATGGCTGTAAAAGATGCAAGCACAGTTTTACCACCTTTAGAAATATCCAAATATTCAGTGGCCTGTGTTGAAAAAGAATAGATTTATATACTGACATCCTTCGGGCAAATTTGAAAAGGAGTCAGTCACACAGATCACATAATCTGACCTATAGTTTATGGAAATTCAGTGTCTGTATTCACATCTAAAACCTTTGAAGAGACTGTCAACGGAGCTTACCCTTCTTAATAGTTTCTCTAAGCATGGTGTGCATCAGTACAACCTGTCCCCCTTGAAACAGAGAAATACGAAATGGTTCCGCATATGACCTGTTTCGTATTTCGCAGTTTCGAGGGGGATAGGTTGTACTGATGCACGCCATGCTTAGAGAAACGATTAAGAGGGGTAAGCTCAGTTTTGTTTGCACGATTTTGAAGATTTGAAGAAGTTCTTTTAACTTGTAAGATCCTCACAAGAAGATTCATTCCCTGTCAGTTGTATGCAGTCAGCGAGTTTGACTGTCATGAAACAGCGAAATACAAAATGGTTCCGCATATGATCATTAAAAGCAAAACTCAGAAAAATTCATAGAAACCAAGGAAAAATATTTACAAATCTAAACCAAACAGTTACATGATACACATGGCAGTTAAAGAGACACTTTTATTACTGAGCGTTTGCGTTGCATGGAATAGTGATGAGTGATCACTCTTATTTGCAACAGTCAGAGCAATCCCAGGGAGAAAATCTCATGAGTTGGTTAAACGGGCGACTGGCTCCTGTGCGAGGCTGTAGTCATTCTGGTCGCCTGTGGACATCTAATATGGACCGGGACTGTCAAATTACAAGCGGGGCCTCAGATGATTGTAGTCAGGCGCTGTGGCCTTTTACATCAGCTCATGCTCCACGGTCGGAAATCAGCGGGACATTAGCTGCATGCTAACCCGAAGCTAACTGATTTTTTCCGGGCATTTTCTTACATCCCTAATAAATATCTGTGAGAGAAAACAACAACATTCACAATTTTCCTATCAAACATTGTTTACGTTGATATTGTGGAAATGGTGCCAAAAGTTAGACCAAGTGTTTATATCTTACTGAAAAGTGAAGCCACAGATTTCATTTATAGGTGCTTTTTAACCTTCAGTTTCATTGGATTTTTGTCAAAAAGTTGATGGTACTATGCTAGCTGTGAGCTCTGTGGTTACCTACCTGTCCAGCTGCTGATCAGCTGATTTTGCCAAGACATTTTCATTGTTCTAACCACCCAATAGTCTCCTGTGTCCCTGGGGAAAGACACATAAAAGACATTTCCTTCTGTTATTGTTGCTTTAAGACTGGGCTAATAGCTAATTTATGTTACGCAGGTGTAGTACATACACCAGGTGTTATTAAACATGTTCAATGCAAAAGCAGTTAGGTGCAAAAATACTCTATATAGAGTTTCATTACCTCATTACTCATTGCTTCCAACAATCAGTGCAATTTACGTTCCAGTAACTTCATCTCTATGGTATTTGTAACGGGGTGACTCGAGCTGGGCAAGAGTTTGGATGTGGCGTGGCTTTTAACCCAAGCGCGGAGTGACTGACGCCGGGTTGAATGGACACGCTGTTTAATCTGGGAGCCGGGTACGCAGCTGTATTGTGACACAGCTGAACACGGCGACTCCTGGACTGAAGCTGATCTGTACGAACAGGAAGGATTCGGAGATCTGGCTGGTCTGATCTGAACAGGCTTCGTGATCTGAGCTGATCTGGTTAGGACTCTAGGTTAAGTTCGGTGAGAACGATGACTGAGTGAGCCGGCGTTGTGCGGCACTTCCCTATATAGGTTTGGCAGGTGACGTGAAACGGAAAACCTGGCGCTAGGGATGGCGTGAGTACTCCGTGTTAGCTCGTGTGATGGCAGCCCGAGCACGGATCCAGGCGAGACGGAAACGTCCAACTAGGAGCTGGGCCGCAGGAACCTCCGTCTCCGGTTCCTGGTGAGGGAACAGAGGGGGCTGGTAACCATTACACAGCTCGAACGGGGAAAGACCAGTAGCCGAGGAGACGTGGAGGTTATGGGACATCTCCGCCCACAAGAGATGCTTTGGCCATGTGGTTGGTTGGGAAGAGGCAAAGCAGCGCAGGTACCGCCCGAGCTGCTGGTTGGCGCGTTCAGTCTGTCCATTGGTCTGGGGATGGTAGCCAGACGAGAGGCTGCTACTGGCACCAACCAGCCGGCAGAAGGCTTTCCAGAACCTGGACATGAATTGGGGCCCTCTATCCGAGACAATGTCCTGAGGGAACCCATGGAGACGGACCACCTGCTCCAGAAGGACTTCGGCCGTCTGCTTAGCGGTGGGCAGGCCGGAAAGAGCCACCAGGTGGACCGCCTTGGAAAACCTGTCCACGATGGTCAGGACGGTGTCGAGCTGGTTGACGGGAGGCAACCCCGTGACGAAGTCCAGGCCTATGTGGGACCAGGGTCTGTGGGGAACAGGAAGAGGGTGGAGGTCGCCAGCCGGGGGTTGGTTCGGAGTCTTGGAACGGGCGCAGGTGGAACATGCAGCCACGTATTCATGGACATCCTTAGCCATGGAGGGCCACCACAGGGCCCGACGTAGGAACTGGAGGGTGCGGGTCTCCCCCTGGTGGCCAGCCAAACGGGAAGCATGTCCCCATGCTAGGGCCTCAGACCGGCAGGTGGATGGCACATACAGCCGGTTGGAGGGTGTGTCAGCAGGTGCGGGCTCGGTGGGAAGAGCAGCTCGGATGGCGTCCTCCACTGGCCAGTGAAGGGCTGCAACGAACCTCTGGGCAGGTAAAATAGGTGGTGGTTCCTTGACGGGTGCAGATTGGGCGTGATGGCGGGAAAGGGCGTCCGCCTTCAGATTCTTAGAACCAGGGCGATAAGCCAGATGAAAGTGGTAGGATTCGAAAAACAGAGCCCTCCGGGCTTGACGGGGGTTGAGTTGGCGAGCATTCTGGATATGAATTAGGTTTTGGTGGTCGGTCCATATGGTAAACGGGTCCTGGGCACCCAATAGCCACTGCCTCCACCCCTCCAGCGCCCATTTAATAGCCAGGAGCTCCCTGTCCCCCACCCCGTAATTCCTCTGGGTGGGTGTGAATTTCCTGGAGAAATAGGCACAGGGGTGGAGTTTGGAGTCTGGACCGCGTTGAGATAGGACCGCCCCTGCACCCACCTTGGACGCATCCACTTCCACGATGAATGGCTTTGTTGTGTCCGGATGAACGAGGAGGGGAGCGGTCGTGAATCGGTGCACCAGGGTGCGGAATGCCTGTGTGGCCTCAGGAGTGAAACGGAAAGGGTGAGTCTGGTTGGATGACTTGGTTAAGGCAGTGAGGGGCGCGGCGATGGAACTGAAACCGCGAATAAAGCGGCGGTAGAAGTTCGCGAATCCGAGGAAACTCTGGAGCTGTTTTAGGGAAGTGGGTTGCGGCCATTGGGCGACAGCCTGGACCTTCTGGGGGTCCATTGAAAATCCTCTTGACGACACGACGAAACCCAGGAAGGAGATGGTCTCCTGATGGAAGGCACATTTCTCCAGTTTACAGTAGAGACCGTTCTCCAGCAGCCGGGAAAGAACGGCTCGCACGTGTGTGATGTGTTCGTCCAGGGTTCGGGAGTAGATCAGGATGTCGTCAAGGTAAACGAACACCCACCGGCCCAGCATGTCCCTCAGGACGTCAGTGATTAGCCGTTGGAAAACCGCAGGACTGTTACACAAGCCAAAGGGCATGACCAGGTACTCCCAGTGGCCTGTCGGGGTGATGAAGGCGGTTCTCCACTCCTCGCCTTGTTTTATCCTGACCAAGTTGTAGGCGCTGCGCAGGTCCAACTTGGTGAATATGGCGGATTGGGACACTACATCCAGGGCGGTGGACATCAAGGGCAGAGGGTGACGGTCGCGAACCGTGATCTTATTCAGACCCCTATAGTCGATGCAGGGTCGAAGGCCCCCCTCCTTCTTTTTTACGAAGAAGAACCCCGCCGCTCCAGGCGAGGTGGAGGGTCGGATAAACCCCTGTTGGAGAGCCTCCGTTATGTACGCCTCCATGGCCTGGGTCTCAGCCGGGGATAAGGAGTACAGGCGACCCCGGGGTGGAACTGTGCCAGGCTGGAGCTTTATTTCCAGGTCATATGGTCGGTGAGGAGGCAGGGTGGTGGTAGGTGTCTTTGAGAAGACCCGGGCCAGGTCATGTTAGCAGGAGGGGATCTGAGAGACATCGACATCTGGGGTTTCAGGTTCAGAGTCAGGTTGAGAAGGTACATGGGAATGACAAGCCGCTCCCCAGGTGAGCACCCGCCCAGTTGACCAGGAGATCTGGGGGTTATGACGTAAGAACCAGGAGTGACCCAGGATCAGTGGAGATAAAGGGGCTGTGATAATCAGGAACCGGAGGGTCTCAGAATGGGGAGGTACGTCCATACGGAGGTCCACCGTCTCCTGGTGGATGGGATAGGGCTGGAGAGGAGTACCATCCACGGAGGTAACGGGAATGGTTCGGTGGAGAGCGGACAGGGGAATGTGTAGGCGGGCCGCCAGATCCTTATCCATGAAACAGTCCGCTGCTCCAGAATCCAAAAGCGCCTCCAGCTCAACGGGCCCCTGGGCGAGATGAAGTGTCACTGGGAGCATGGTGCGGGTCGAGGGGGTTCCGGCCGACCCAAGTAGGACCCCTCTGCTGCTGCCTACTTGGAGACGGCGTTTCCCGGCCGGGAAGGACAAGAGAAGCGCCGATGGCCCGGTGCGCCGCAATAGGCGCATAGCCCCTCCTTATAGCGCCTCTCCCTCTCCTCTGGGTTTAAGTGTCCCAGCTGCATGGGCTCATCAGTGAGTGGGCTGGCTGAGCGGGACCGATCGTTGGTTGCGGCTGCCGCGGGCTCAGCAGGTCGGCGCGTAAAAAGGCGCAAATCCATTTGGAGAGCGAGGTCGGCTGCCTCGTCCAGGGTTCCGGGGGTCTCCCGTCCGATCATCCCGTCTCTGATGCGGGAGGAGAGCCCTTCCAGGTAGATCGCCTTTAGCGCGTCGTCTCCCCATCTCAGCTTGGCCGCCTTGGTCCGGAACCGAGACGTGTACTGCGCTACCGTCTGGTGTCCTTGCCGGAGCTGGAGGAGTTGCGTCTCCGTTGACGTCTCGCCACTGGGGGGAACGAAAACCCTCCTGAGTTCGTTCACGAACATATCATAGTCATTGCAGACTTCCGATTTCTTATTGTACATGGCGGCTGCCCACTCCTGAGCTCGGCCGGTGAGGAGGGAGACCAGCATCGCCACCCGGGAGCAGGGTGTGGCATATCGGTGTGGCTGACATTCGAACGTCATGGCTAACGTGGCTAACAGTCCTTCAGGTGAGCCATGCGTTCCATCCCATTTCTCTGGGAGGCTGAATATAGGTTGGTCTCGGTCTCTGGAGGTCTGCTGCTGCTGCGCAGCAGAGAGCTGGAGAACCACCGTGGCGATGGAATCCACCTTGGCGGCCAGGCGTTCCACCGTGACTTCCATCCGGTTGACCTGAGCACGCAGGTTATCAAACTCCGCTGGGTTAACTGTGGACTCAGTCATCCTGTAATGGGGTGACTCGAGCTGGGCAAGAGTTTGGATGTGGCGTGGCTTTTAACCCAAGCGCGGAGTGACTGACGCCGGGTTGAATGGACACGCTGTTTAATCTGGGAGCCGGGTACGCAGCTGTATTGTGACACAGCTGAACACGGCGACTCCTGGTCTGAAGCTGATCTGTACGAACAGGCAGGATTCGGAGATCTGGCTGGTCTGATCTGAACAGGCTTCGTGATCTGAGCTGATCTGGTTAGGACTCTAGGTTAAGTTCGGTGAGAACGATGACTGAGTGAGCCGGCGTTGTGCGGCACTTCCCTATATAGGTTTGGCGGGTGACGTGAAACGGAAAACCTGGCGCTAGGGATGTTGGGTAATGGAGTCTGAGCGGCTCTGCGGTGCCTCCCTAGAGGAGGTTGACGGCTGAGCGGGAGGTTGTGTGACAGTATTCCCAAAGCTCGCACCTCCTTTGGCCGCTCCACGTTCCAGTTTGCTGCTCCCAACGACTGGAATGAGCTGCAAAAATCACTAAAGCTTACTCCATTATCTACCTTCAATGATTCATTGCAATCAATAGTTTTGGATCAACAGTTCTGATTACGTAAAGATTGCTTAAGTCTGTTTTGAATGCGTGTACATATTATATATGAGAACAGTCCTTTGCTTTTATGTCTAACTGTTTTTATCTTATCTTGTTTGTTTTTATCTTATCTATCTGTTTTCTTTGGTGTAAAACTAATCATGTGTCTTGCCGCTGCCTCTCGGCCAGATCGTTGTTGTGAACAAGAATGAGTTCTCCATTGACTCATCTGGATAAATGAAGGTTAAATTAAAACTATAAATGAAGTAAATGAGATCAACTTCCTGTTTCCCCAAACCAAGATTGCTATAGGGAGCCTAAGTCACGCCCATCTGCTTCTGGACAGTCGGACCTCGGAAGAACGAAAAAAATGAACGCAAGTCAACGGGGCTAAAAACGCTATTTTCTAATTCCGCTTGTTTTGTGCCATGGATTTCACATGTGATGTCCGTGAATTTTAAAGACACATTTTGATACCAAGAACATGCTTATTTTGGAACAGGAGTGAACGCTATTTTAGGTTATTTTTATTTATTTATTGAGAACCTCATTAGCTCCCACCATAGTGTGGAGCTATTGTTCCTGAGGTCTCTTCCAATTTCATTACAAATATTTTACAAAACACCCCCGTCCCCACACACACACACACACACACACACACACACACACACACACACACCCAACAAATCCCAGGAGCTCATTATAATCATACTAGCTCAATTGCAATGACGATATACCAGTAAGTTACCACACACTTCAGCATTCATGAAAAATCTAAATAAGTACGTAAATACGGAGAGTTTACACAGAGCAATAAATAAATATATCCAAGAATCAAAAATCATATCACATCACTTCCATAACAAACAAAAACTAGAAGTTGTCATATCAGTCACATTTACAATTCCTTGTGCAAAATTTACTGTTGTGTAAACAAAAAAAAGCTTTAACTTCTTTTGAAAACATCTTCTGTTATTCTCTAATAACAAAACTCTCGGCATGGCATTCCATGCAACCATGGCTCTGTAATAGACCGCTCTTTGCCTTTGATTAGTTCTGCAGCGCGGTAGTGCGCACCTTATGTCACTTGTCTGTCTCGTCATGTAATCATGATTGTCCGAAAAAAAGGATAACTTGTCATAAATTATTCTAGGTATTTTCGTAGTTATTATATTTCTTATAAATGTTATCAGTGAATACTTTTATCTACATTTCACTGTTAACCAGTGAAACCGGTTTTGTGTGAAAATAAGTCCAGGACAACAAATGCGCTTCATGAAAGTGACGTCATCGAACCAGACACGGAGGCGACTGAGGGAAAATGGGTGTAAGTTCAGCAAACTTCCCACAGGAAGAAAGAACCACTATAAATCTGGTCATGTGGGAAGTGACAGCTACGTTAGCGGAGAGGAGATTATGTGATGACGTCACATATGCGACGTGCTGATTTCTGGTGTGTAGTCATGCTAATTACCAACTTTTACAAGCTAATAAATCTCAAAATACATGACTGGCGTGGTCGAAACACCCATCATTACTTTTCATTGAAATTGCAGTACAACATATGCGCGATCCAGGGTGTAAGGCAAGGTGGATTAGAAAATAGCGTTTTTAGCCCCGTTCACTTGCATTCATTTTTTCGTTCTTCTGGGGACCCATGAGCCGACCGGAAAGGGAGGAGACTTAGGCTCCCTATGAATTCTTTCTACTGCAAGTAAGATAATGACTGCTAACAGCTAACAACTCACAAACCCCCTTAAAAATAATCCCATTATAGTAATAATGCACTCCTGTTCATTTCATCATGCAGACATGCAATCTCATGATGATGACCAATACAGGATTGCAAGAGGGAACACAACCACATGGTCTCCAAAACGGTAAATTCTTCCTGTTCAGGAGTAACTCATTTGGTTATACTGCACAAAAGACGTGATGTAATCAGATTTCTTTTTCTGGGATGGCCCTCAGGAGCTGTTGATGATTTCCTAAATATTGAAAAGTACTGGAACCACAGGACTAACACAGCTGAATCACTGCTGTGGTTAGACGCTAACGTTAGGTAAGAGATGCACGTTTTGGGATAGAGAATGTTGGAACAATGGTCCATCACAGGCTTTCCTTTTATCTATGTTTTAGTTACAACTGGACCAGCGGGGGAATAACTGTGCCTGATGGTGTTGCTTCTCTTGAAGTGTTAGCACTCGTAATGTCAGAGGACCAGGGCTTCAGTTTCATTCCCGTGCAACAAAGGGTAACCAAACTCTTGGTGGTTTTCTCTAATGGATAATGGAGTTCCTAAAGCTGCACACCATTACGTGTAGATGCACTAATCAGTTCTGGTCCACTGTCTTGTGGCCTCTCTTGGAATCCTTGTATTGTCTTCTCATTTACAGCTGACCATAGCCAAAGATTTCTCCTTGTTTTTTACCGTCCCACCAAGCATGATCAGAGGAGAAGAGATTGTGCTTGAAGTAAATGTCACCAACCATTTAGACAAAGACCTTGAGGTATGTTGGGTACATTTTACATTAAGTAATGTAACTATTTAGGGTCCATAGTACCCTCCCTTTTGAAATGGAGAGTTTAAAGAACTTTCAACCAGATCTTTTATTTGTTTTTCAAACATTTTGTCTTGAAGACTTTGTGTTTTGTTTCCGTATTTGTTTTAGGTCATCGTATTCATCGCACAGACTGAAGCTTTTGAATTTGTTTTGATGACGCAGAAGGAAGCGTCTGTTATAAATGCCCAGAGACTCTATTTAGGGGCTTACGTGACTTCTTCTGCCAGATTTCCAATAAGGTTTTTGGTTCTGGGCGAGGTGGAATTATCTGTGAATGCAATGTCTGCAGAAGCTTCGGGCAAATTTGTTCAGAGACTACTGGTGAAGGTAAGGCACGCTAAAAAAATGACTGCACAAGAGGAAGAAAGAAAAATGTTCATATTTGACACAGTAATAACAGTGGACCACGTTGGTGTTCTTGCAGCCTGAAGGAGTTGAACAGTCCTTCTCAGAAACTCTGTTCCTGGAGATAACGCCAGAGGTGCAAGCCCATCTCAGTTCCATTTCCTTCTCTTTTCCACCAGGAGTGGTACCAGGCAGCCAGAAGGCTCATTTTGTGCTGGTTGGTACGTCTACCATTTCCTGAGCTGTAAATGGGAGTTCCATCTGATCCTCTGAAACTCATCGGGTTATGGAATTCTCAGGATTTCCCCTCCTTTAATCTTATTTTCCTTTACACAGGAGATATCTTGGCTTTGTCCTTTGAAAACTTGGAATCACTGGTTCAGATCCCGACCGGGTGCGGGGAGCAGAACATGATCCACTTTGCTCCAAGTGTTTACGTTGTCCAGTATCTTGACAAGTCATTCGATGATGATGCAGAGCTCAGGAGTAAAGCTTTGAGCTACATGAAGAAAGGTTTATCTTAACAAGATGGCTTTTCTATGTTATTCCTATTTGTATCATATTTAGTGTCAAAGAAGTGTAACTTTACTGAGCCTTTCTGACACAGGTTATGAGAATCAACTGCTCTACCAACGAGAAGATGGTTCCTTCAGTGCTTTTGGAAAACAAGACGCCTCTGGTAGCATGTGGTAGGCACATTCTCCTACAGTAAATTTGTCATGCAGATCAAATTTCTTTTTCTCTGACGCTCCACATTTACCGTGTGTTGTATCAGGTTAACAGCCTTTGTGGTGAGGTGCCTACTTCAGGCTCAGCCTTATATCGAAGTAGACCCAACGGTCCTGTCAAGAGCCATGACTTGGCTCTTAAAACACCAGGGCTCTGAAGGGGAATTCATCGAAGTTGGCAAACTCATCCACACTGAGATGCAGGGAGGGCTGGACAATGACAGCTCAGCAGCGCTCACTGCTTACGTGCTACTGGCCTTTCTGGAGGACATAAATTATTCTGTGAGTCAAGGATGGTTGGGTACTTCACTAAAACTATCCATACCAACAGGAAAACTTGTTTTCTTTCACTATATAGTCCAGATATGAAGGAAAGGTTTCTCTGGCCCTGGAATACCTAGAAAATGAAGTGACTGTTGGTGTGTCCAGTAACTACAGCCTGTGTTTGGTGGCTTACGCTTTGGCTCTGGGCAACAGTCCTGTAGCCATTACAGCACTCGCAGAGCTCACCAGGAGAGCCGACTACGAAGGTGATTTTAAATCATTCTTGTTCAGATTTTATAGAGGTCAGCAAGTTATGGCCAACTAGTTGGAAGTTCACAGTGTTTCCCCTACACAGAGGTGTGGACTCAAGTCACATGACTTGGACTCGAGTCATTATTTTAATGACTTCTGACTTGACTTGATAAAATCTGTAAAGACTTACGACTTGACTTGGTCTTGAATGCCAATGACTTGCGACTTGAATCGACTTGCATCTGTTGACATGATGATGACTTGAGCATATTTGATATTTTAGCACAAAAGTGGCACGACATGGACAAAAATCATAAGTCATTCTTCGTTCTGGGTTTGATCTTGTACTGCTAAAAGCAGCAGCACTTTGTTTATAATCAACTTCAGTTGCACTTTCTGCTTGTTTGAGCAAATAAATGAAGCTTTAAGAAGCTTTATTTCTGGAATTTATTTATCATCATTGCCATTAAATTGAAGTTGGACAGATGACTTGATTATGACTTGAAAATTCTAAGTTAAGGACTTGGACTTGGACTACCACATCATTGACTTTGGACTCGACTTGGACTTAGTTGTATTTGACTTGGACTTGACTCGAGACTTGACTGGAAAGACTTGTGACTTACTTTTGACTTGCAAAGCAGTGACTTGGTCACACCTCTGCCCCTACATAGGCGTGGTGCTAAAAAAAATTATAAAAAACTAACTAAAAAATAAAAATATATACAAATATGTATATATAGATAGATAGATAGATAGATAGATAGATAGATAGATAGATAGATAGATAGATAGATAGATAGATAGATAGATAGATAGATAGATAGATAGATAGATAGATAGATAGATAGATAGATAGATAGATAGATAGATAGATAGATAGATAGATAGATAGATAGATAGATAGATAGATAGATAGATAGATAGATAGATAGATAGATAGATAGATAGATAGATAGATAGATAGATAGATAGATAGATAGATAGATAGATAGATAGATAGATAGATAGATAGATAGATAGATAGATAGATAGATAGATAGATAGATAGATAGATAGATAGATAGATAGATAGATAGATAGATAGATAGATAGATAGATAGATAGATAGATAGATAGATAGATAGATAGATAGATAGATAGATAGATAGATAGATAGATAGATAGATAGATAGATAGATAGATAGATAGATAGATAGATAGATAGATAGATAGATAGATAGATAGATAGATAGATAGATAGATAGATAGATAGATAGATAGATAGATAGATAGATAGATAGATAGATAGATAGATAGATAGATAGATAGATAGATAGATAGATAGATAGATAGATAGATAGAACCCCAATTCATAAATCACCATGTTTGTTGGTTTTGTTTTTTACTTTCTGGTCAAACTCCAGACAATTTGTTTCTAAGATTAAAAATTGTTGTAAAAACAAGATTACAGTTGGTTTGTTAAAGTTAAAGGCCCATTAGTCATCACACACTGGTGAAATTCATCCCCGCGTCTGACCCATCCCTGTGGGGAGTGGTGAACTACAACTGTGGCCGCACTTTCAGTGAAACCACTAAACAAGTGAAGTTCTCTGTACCTTTATTTTTCAAAGATGGAGTCATGATGTGGACATTATCTGCCAACCAGATGTCATACCCGCCCCCTCACTCAGCCCGGGTTGAGATGACCTCATATGTGCTGCTGGCTTTCTTTATGCGTGGCAGCATTATTGAAGGGATCTCACTCATGAAGTGGTTAAGCACACAGAGGAACTTCCTAGGAAGCTTTGATACGACCCAGGTGAGAGAAGGGTCCTAGAGGTTAAAACCACATTTACCTTGTTGTTGTAGGCAGCTTGGGGTGTTTAATGTACCCTATGTAATCCGTAGCTTTCCTATTAGGTAATCTGGATACTGCACACAGAGGAACTAGCTTTAGGCGGTCATAGAGCCATCGGGGTAAATCGGCCAATGAGCATGCAGCTCGTTAATTTTCATGACCTGACTAAGTGGGTGGGGTTAACCCATCTTTCTATTGTAAAGCTTTTTTATGAGGTTGTATTTGGCCTTTAATCAGGGCTCCTGGGCCATTTTGAGGAACAACAAAGTTTCATAAAGGGGCTGTTGTTAGTTTCTTATTGTAAAAAAAGATGTTTTAGGACTCATGTGTCAGGCACATTTTTATGTAGCCCGCGAGATAAATATCAAAAATATATTAAAACCGACCCGGGGCTGCGCAGTGGTTAGAGCTGTTGCCTTGCAGCAAGAAGGTCCTGGGTTCACTTCCCAGCCTGGGATCTTTCTGCATGGAGTTTGCATGTTCTCCCTGTGCATGCGTGGGTTCTCTCCGGGTACTCCAGCTTCCTCCCACAGTCCAAAAAAAAAAACCCATGACTGTTAGGTTAATTGGTCTGTCTAAATCAGGGGTGTCAAACTCAAACTCACACGGGGCCGAAATGAAACTCTGGGACGGAGTCGAGGGCCAAATTTAATATTTTTTTTAAAAGTGAGGGCAAATTTGCACATTTTCTTTATCAACATATATGCAATTTTGAACCTTTAAATTTGGAAACAAACTTCTTTCTGCATTAACACTGAATATGGAATAACCAAATTACACACGAGCAAGTCCGTTTTAAATAAAAGGCATCAGTGGTATTCATTACTTGTGGTATAATCAGCATTTTTAAAATCTATTCAGGATTTATGTTTTCTGGTTTATTCATTTTTCTTATTTTATATTCTCCTTTTTTTCTCCTGTAATAAGTGTCATCGCTGCTGTGACGTCTAGCTTTCCCCACTGAGGAACAATAAAGGGATTTTCTATTCTATTCATCTATCTTCAACCTTTCCACTTCCTTTTTTACTGTAGGTTAAATATTTTCTCACGTGCCAACAACAAAATAAAAATATCGTTTTACCTTAAATGAAAATGCAACATCTCACCTGTTAACTTTCATGTTTTGGAGCAGAAAAAGAGCATAAAACCAACATATTTAAAGCTCAGTTTGCTCCACTGGTTTACTGTGATGCTCACCTGTTTCAGCCAGATACCTGCATCATGGGGTTGATCTGAGCTGAGGAGGAGACTCCTGTTGTTTTGTTCATCTTCATCATAATAATGACAACATTAGATGACAACAGGTGCTCTCATAGGTTTGTGCTGATGCACATGTCTGAGCAGCTTGACCACGTTGATGTGTGTCGGGGAGGAAAAATAACAACGACAGCAGCCACAGAGCCGTGCTGATTTGAGCGTGTCGCTGCTTGCTGGAGTTATATCAGCTCTGTCTGGACGTTAGTTGGAAAACTTTCTCTTTCAGTCGTGAACACATTACTGGGCGGCTAGAATCTCCGTTTCTGGGCTTCAACGTCAGAAAATAGCTGAGTGAACTCTGCGCCCTTAGTGAGAGGAGTGTTTAGCTTGTCCGAGACAGCGGAGCTGCAGACACTGGCAGCAGGCGCTGGAAAAAACACAAAGGAGGGGGCACGTCGGCTCCACGCTGACCCCGCAAAGCATCATGGGAGTTGAAGTCTTTGCGGTAAAATTGGCCAGTGGGCCAGTTTTAATATATTTTTGATATTTATCTCGCGGGCCACATAAAAATGCTCCGCGGGCCGCGACTCTGACATATGTGGTCTAAATTGTCCTAAAATGTGTGAGTGTGTGTGTGTGTGTGTGTGTGCGTGCGTGCGTGCGTGTGTGTGTGTGTGTGTTTGTGTGTGATTGTTTGTCCTGTGTGTCTCTGTGTTGCCCTGTGATGGACTGGCGGTTCTCTGTCCAGGGTGTACCCCGCCTGATTGCCCATTGACCGCTGGGGATAGGCACCCACCCCCCACCCTCTCCACCCCCGGCGACCCTACGTGGACAAAGCGGGTTCAGACAATGGATGGATGGATATTAAAATTGACCCGCTGGCCGATTTTACCGCAAAGACTACAACTCCCATGATGCTTGGCGATGTTAGCGCGGAGCCGAAGCCCCCCTGTCAGTGGCAGCTGGTGAAAAATATTTTTGGTGAGGCTGTGCTATTTTTTTTTTAAACAAACTTGTGCTTTCTGAGCTTTGTGCACAACTTCACTATTTCGTGAATTAAGCACAGCTCTTTTATTTCCTGTCTTACATTATTGGACAAACTGATTAATCCACGCGTGTCTGACTATTGGCACACTGCCTTGCGGACCAAGGTTGAAAAATACTGCATTAAATTGCACATAAAATAACATGACCATATATGGTCCACATCCACATTACTGTTTGTGAAACTAACATACTGGAGAATTTCATCACAATAATATTAAATAAACAAGTATGTACCTGATCTTTTGCATACTGTTGGTGAAGCTCTGGATGACCCCTGTGATGGAGACAGTCAGTGTTCCTCTTCTGCAGCTGGTTGAACAGCATGTCCACATGTGGCATGATCTTGTGACACAGTGCCAGCAGAAAGCCGAAATCTTCTTCCTCCAGCATTCTCACAAAGCCTCCTGCCTCTCTCTCAGTGACTGGATCAAAGTCATCCGAGTCTCTGATCATCTGGAAACATCTGAGGAGGTCATCCTTGAGCTCATACACTGTGTTGACATCTCTCTCTTGGACAAAATGTGCCGGTTCTGATCCACTTCTTCATTGTGTTTCTTCACTGCAAGCCTGTGCTCGTCTCTAGCTGCAGCTCTGCCTAGCATAGCTAGCTTCACCGTGTTGTCCATGTGTGACCGGGATAACTCGTGTTTCTTCACCTTCTCAGAAAAATGTTTCATGTCCTTAACTCCTGACTCAACCCATGCCTCATCTGTCACAGTCGTTTTGAATAACAAACACGAAAAGCAAAATAACGCATTAGCGTGATTGCATCCAGCTAGCCAAGCCTTCCCAGAAGCCTCGTGTGTAGTTTACCTCTCTCCTCCTCCTGCTGGCTTATCTTTACGTCGGGCTGATCTGGTCCAAGCTCTTTGACATTAAGTTTTTCCACCATAGTTCTCCTCTCGAACGGATACTGGAGAAAAGACCGAACTGAATTCAGTGGCTGCTGAGATCCGGTATCCTGGTTGTAGGCTCACTGGCGTCCATTACATCTGCGTCACGAGACTCTCCCGAGTTCTACCGAACACCAACGAAAGCCTTGGCGGTAGCTCTATCGCCCATCATGCTTCTGAAACGTTCTGAAACAACGTCGACGCTGATTGGATACATTCCCATTCCTACCCTTTAATTTTCTTGTCAGCAATTGGACAGCTGGTCTCGTCCTGTTTGGGCGATTGAAACACAGCACACAGCCTCCACCGCTCGGCAGAGATCGGCAGAGACCGGCAGAGACCAATATATATATATATATATGATTTATTTTTGATACAAAACACACAATTAACTTAGAATATGTGATTATTGTTAATTTTATTTATTTATTTTTTAAATAAAAATTAAAAAACACTGGGGAAACTGGGAGGGCGGCACCCTATCGCCCTCTACTGGCCAGCCGCCACTGCCCCCTGTGTTTTTTCCAGCGTCTGCTGCCGGTGTCTGCAGCTCCGCTGTCTCGGGCAAACTAAACACTCCTCTCACTCAGCGCCAAGTTTACTCAGCTATTTTCCGACGTTGAAGCCCAGAAACGGAGATTCTAGCCGCTCAGTAATGTGTTCATGACTGAAAGAGAAAGTTTTCCAACTAACTTCCAGACAGAGCCGATATAACTCCAGCGAGCAGCGACACGCTCAAATCAGCACGACTCTGTGGCTGCTGTAGTTGTTATTTTTCCTCCCTGACACACAACAACGTGGTCAAGCTGCTCAGACATGTGCATCAGCACAAACCTATGAGAGCACCTGTTGTCGTCTAATGTTGTCATTATTATGATGAAGATGAACAAAACAACAGGAGTCTCCTCCTCAGCTCAGATCAACCCCATGATGCAGGTATCTGGCTGGAACAGGTGAGCATCACAGTAAACCAGTGGAGCAAACTGAGCTTTAAATATGTTGGTTTTATGCTCTTTTTCTGCTCCAAAACATGAAAGTTTTGCATTTTCATTTAAGATAAAATGATATTTCTATTTTGTTGTTGGCACGTGAGAAAATATTTAACCTACAGTAAAAAAGGAAGTGGAAAGGTTGAAGATAGATGAATAGAATAGAAAATCCCTTTATTGTTCCTCAGTGGGGAAAGCTAGACGTTACAGCAGCGATGACACTTATTACAGGAGAAAAAAAGGAGAATAAAAAATAAGAAAATGAATAAACAACAAGAAAACATAAATCCTGAATGGATTTTGAAAATGCTGATTATACCACAAGTAATGAATACACTGATGCATTTTATTTAAAATTGACTTGCTCGTGTGTAATTTGGTTAAGAAAATGTGCACATTTTCTGTCACTTTTTCAAAAAAATATTAAGTTTGGCCCGCGACTTCGACCCAGATTGTCATTTCGGCCCCATGTGAGTTTGACTTTGACACCCCTGTTTTAGGACATCTTTTAAAAAAATGTAATAATGGTTTCCAAATGAATTTACCAGCTCACATACTCAAGAAATAAATTCCAATTTTTCCTGAAAGGCGTAAAAGAGAAGTAACTGTGTAATCCTGATGTGTTTTACCATTTTTGTCCCTGCAGGACACTGTAGTCGCCCTTCAAGCTTTAGCTTCCTACGCTGCATTTAGTGGTGCCAGTGCCATTGACCTAAGAGTTACTGTTTCTAACCCTGCATCTTCATTTGTGTCACTGATTCAAATCAACTCAACAAACTATCGTATGTACCAAAGCCAAGAGGTAACAAAATCATTTTCTATGTGTGCTATGTTCATCTGACACATTAACCAAATACCTACAGTTGAAAAAAAGTTTAATTAGCTGAAGTGTCATCATCCCTTTATTTCATTTCTTAGATTGATGCTGAAAAAGATTTACCTTTAAATATTGCCCTTGAAGGAAGAGGTTTTGCCGTTTTGCAGGTAGGAACACATCAGTTACCTTTACATCGCATCAGAAATGTGACGGTATTGTTGTACTTGGCTCAAAAGTCTGTTGACAGATGGTTAAACCACTGGAGTGTGATCAGAATAAATTGATGGCAGCAGCGGTGCATGATAGCCTCTCCCAGCAGAACAATGTCCCACATAATAAATGCTGAATCACAACAGCAACTGCAAATGTAGCGTGCTAATTGACTCAAAGCAGCTAACATCTGGAATGCAGACTTTAGCTGTCTGCTTTTAGCGCATCCAGATTTTACCACTCAGAGCGTAAAAAATAACTTGTTTTTTGTTCTAAGTCTTTCATTCTGGAGTTAAATTTGCAAACCTTTTTCTAGTATGTAGAGAAAAAGGAACAAAATGAGATGTAGAAGCAACGTTTAAGGGGTTTTTCTGCTGAAAACTTTAATCGGTGTTCTTGAATCCACCCAGTTGAACGTCTTTTACAACGTGGAGAGCAAAAATTTCTCCCGGAACGTCCAACACGCCTCTGACAAGGATTCATTCTCATTAGATTTTAATCTAAGTCACAGCAACAGAAGTCACATGGATCTGACCGTGTGCACAAGGTAAGAGCTACAGTGTCAAATAGTCGAGTTGATATTTAACAAATTAACCACACAAGTGATATTTAATGCATGTGATGACAGTTTGTGTTTGTCCCTTTTTAGATTAAAGGACAATCAGCCGGTGCCTCAGACAGGAATGGCGATACTGGATGTGGGCGTGCTCAGTGGCTTCTCTCTCCTCCCTGGAGGTGCAGCTGAGGAAGGCTTGATCAGGAAAGTAGACTCAACATCTGAACGAGTCAGCCTGTATCTGGATTCTGTGAGTGTTTCATTATCCTAGAAGCAAAATGGGGGAAATTGAAAATGTTCATATTCTTCTTGAGGAAGTTTGGCGTCATGTTTGAAGAACTTGCTCAATTCAAGCAATAAACATGAGGAGTGATTAGCTATTAAGTGAGATCTTCATAAATGTGAACTAATTTAGACATAAACAGCCCAGATCCTCCCTCCTGATGTCTTGTTGAGGACTTGTTTATCCTGATCCACGTGCACGGCCCTGACAACCCTTGCAGGGATTGGTAGACTAACTTGCGTTAATGAAGTTTGAAAAGCTTAAAGTTTTAAATGAGGACACATCTTTGATCAGGAAATAAAGTGAAGCTCAGTTTCCCGTTTGTTCCAAACCAACTGGATAACCTGGATAACTGGGAATTTTCACCTTCATGTTGTGGAAGTAATATCCATAAGCTCCAGCAGAGGGCGCCTCCTCTGGCTTCCCGGCCTGGGATCTTTCTGCATGGAGTTTGCATGTTGCATGATTGCTGTCCTGTGTGTCTCTGTGTTGCCCTGTGATGGACTGACTCTCTGTCCAGGGTGTACCCAGGGGCAGAGCTTGATATGTGCAACATGTGCGGCCGAACAGGGCGGCAGTCGGGGGGGGGGGGGGGGGGGGGGGGGGCATTTAATTTCCTTTTTTTTTTTTTTAGCAACAACCAGTACATAAACAAAACATAGAAATTGCATATTCTTCCTAATAATAATAGTGATGAGTGATGATAATAAACAACAAAGTTGTAGGTGTATTTTTTTTTCTTGTGTGTGTGTGTGTGTGTGGGTGGGGGTCACAGGGTGTTCTCGCACAGGGCGCCATTTAGGCTAGCTCCGCCTCTGGGTGTACCCCGCCTGATTGCCCGTTGACCGCTGGAGATAGGCAAGCCCCCCCAACCCCCCCACCCCCCCCACACCCCCACACCCCGACCCCGCGTGAACAAAGCGGGCTCAGAAAATGGATGGATGGATGGATATTGTTTTTATAAATGTTTTTATTGATTGATAGATCTATCGACAGATTGATAGATCAATAGATGGGTGTGTGCCATTGAAATAGATCCTCTAAATCCTATAAATTAGAAGGTAGTTTTTCCGTGGGTTGAATTTGTTTAAGCGGGTGTCTCATAAATGTTTGATGCGACTGAATTACAGAGCTTCAATGCTAAATAAACACTTTAATCCTTTCCATGCTGCCTGTAGATCCCTGAACAGCCTGTGTATTGTGTCCTGAATCAGGTGACGTCCTGCAGAGACATACTGGGTCTGCATTAAGAGTTTCTTGTACTGAAGCACAAAAATCTGATCAAACACTGATTGTTTTGATCCATTAAGGTCATATAAGACTGTTTTCTGTCCTTCGGTTGTCTCTCTGCATTTATTTTCTGCAGACACAAGACCTGAATTGCCCTCATTCTCTGACTCCGCCAGTCAGTCATGTTTCCAACTGTCGATGTTTTAGAGTTGCTGCAGACTTTTGTATCTAAAACCTTTTGAATTTGGTGCAAACTGAAAGTGTTTTGCATTATTTGCAGGTGAACAAGTCAGAGGTTTGCGTCAAGCTTCCTTTTGTCCGAGTTCACAACGTGGCTCGTGTAGAAGACGCTGTGCTGCGGGTTTATGACTACTATGAACCCAGTGAGTCCAAACGCAGAAACCTTTTGTTGTCCTTCAGGTTTACGTGACATCGCTGATCATAATCACTTCAATATTTTTCTCACTTGTAGCGAGAAAAGCAACACGAACATACAACTCAGGCTTCCTTCGCAGCGTTGACTCCTGCTACTTCTGTGGGGAAAATTGTGATTCCTGTCGACCTGGAATCACCATCAAGCTTTCTTCTCACTCAAGTGGTGCTTTCTCCAGCCTGAGCAGCCTGATTCTTGGTGTCACTGCTGTTTTACTGATATGCTTTTGATGCATTTTTATCCTGCAGTAAACGTTGACCAATGATTGCAATGTGTAAAGCAGGGTTTCTCAACTTTTTTCAGCTAAACGCCCCCCCCCCCCCCCCCCCCCCCAAGTCATGCTGACATCCCTTACTGCCCACCAATGTCCCGTGCAGAGCAATGGAAAGTTTTTTGATATAAAAATCATAATTAAAAAAATAAATAAACAATTCAACCTTGAGTTTGAAACTGTTTCATACAAATATGTCATAAAAAAGTATCATAAAAAGTGTTTTTAGCTATTAGCAACAAGATATTGAAGGAAGCTAATAATCCTCGGTCCAGTAAATTCGAGCTTCGAGCAAACATACTGCTAATGCTACCTCTCTTAGAGTGTCTCTCTTTAATTACCTGAAAATAGTTCAGTTCCTTTGAAGCTTTGTCTGGATGCATTTTGGACAAGTGCTCCTTAAGCCGGGAGGGTTTCATTGATTCGTTTCAAAAAACTTGTTCACAAAACAGGCACATGGGGAGTTGTGGATTCGTGGGTGAAGGAATAAGTCCATACCGAAGGTAGTCCACGTTGTACTGTCGACACTTCTTTTTATTCATTTTACAGTGAAATAATCACAAAACACTCCGATGTCTCAGTTGTGTTGGAAGGAAGGTTACATTGCGGGCTTGTCAGTTTTTCTCCTTGTAAACAAGCTGAAGAGGGACATAGTCACTATTTACAGTCTGTTAGCCCGCAGGGTTGCCAAGTCTGCGCCGGCATTTGTAATTCCACATGGCCGCCAAAAAGCTTCAGATCTCTGGACAGAATGTTAGCCACTAAAAGGAACCGCCTAGAAGTTATTTCTTGTACCCCTAAAGCTTGGTTTATGCTTGACGCGTCTGCGAGGTTCGCACGGCTCCGCACGGCAAAATTGCATCATTTTAACAACCACGCCCCTCCACTGCGCCTCCGCACGGCTCAAACTTTCCACACCGCGCACCTAGGAAATTTTCTAACCACGTGCACGGTCAGACGTGAAAAAACATGGCGGACTGGCAAGAACTAGTGTGGCAGAGGTTCGTAAATACAGACATTTGTATGATTCAGCTCTCAGAGATCACCATGATCAACATGTTGTTAATAATTCTTGGAGAGAAATAGCTCGCACTGTCGGAAAAGACGAGGACGCTGTTAAAAAATGCTGAAATGCCATGTTGTAAACAACAGTAATTTTTACTTCTACTATGGTGTAGTGTTGGATGCATGCCGTAGAGCTCCATGCTGCCCCCTACAGTTTGGGAGAATATTGGCTTACCGCAGAGACAAGCCGCATGAACCATAAACGCTGCAAGTTGTGAAGCGCGTTCCATCCGCGAGTCGCATCACCAAGCGGAAAGTGAATGCGTCAAGCATAAACCAAGCTTAAGAAGAATTGGCATTGTTTTGTTTTATCGTATTTTGGGGACTCTAAGGCACACCAGATTATAAGGCACAAGAATCGAAAAACTGTCGGATAAATGGAACTTTATTCAACTCTTTCACAATAACTCGCTCATAAGGAGTGTTGACATTGTTCAACATGAAAACCAGAACAATACACTCACTTTTTCAGTCCATTGGTAGTTTCTGGTCATCAGCATGGCAACTGAGAACTACAGTGAAAGACGACTTCTCGGTCTCTGTGGTGCGTATAGAGACCGGACTGTTTTGGGCAAAGGTGAGGAGTCCTCGTCCGTGTTGGTGATGTATTCTGGCCAGATCTTCGCTTCAGTGATCTTGTTCTTGCAGTAGGTATAGAAAATGGACAGCTTTTCTTGTATCCTTTGGCAGTTGCTGCAAGGTGGTTGTTCTTGTGTGGATGGATAGACGATGTCTTTTCATAAATCAAAGCACCAAGAAGGACCTCCTCGGAAGTCGTTGATCTTCATGACATGTACCACCGCTGTCGCCGCAATGTTGAAGAACAGTACGTATCACTCCGCGAGGCTCCTGATTACCGTAGTCATAACGATCCGTCAATCCATCAAGCGGTGAGACTCCATAGCATACCAATGTCATGCTAAAGCATTTTTAATGAGTTTTGACCACTGCGTACCACCTAAAATCAGTTTGAGGTCAGTACGCATAAACAGAATTAAAGCATGAGCTTGCTGATGTTTGAGAAAATTAACTCATTCACTGCCATTGACGACTAAAGTTGTCATTTTAGATCCAACCGTTCACTGCCATTGACGACTAAAGTCGTCATTTGCATTTTTTTTTTACTGTTTGAGCATCAGAACGAGCCCCCGCGCTGAGAGAACAAACATCTCAGCCCTGAAGCCGATCTTCATCTGCATACGTCACACGTCACATGATCAGGAAGCAGACCATCCATGTGTTAGGAGATCGTTTTGGGCCGTTCCTGTAAAAAAAAGTGAGGCGCGAACCGAAAAAGCGTCTGCCGATCACAATTCAACAACGGATTATGAAAGAACGGATAACGCTCGAAACACACAGATTCTTCCTGATGTAAGAGGTGAGTCTCCTCTTTGTTTTGGTTATTTTGGCGTCGGCATAATCCTAGCACACAATGTTCTGTGACTCTTAAAAAAACTGTAAAAACTGTGAGAAACTGGCAGCGAAGGCTGTTAGCGATCAGGAAACGGCTGGCAGTGAATGAGTTAAAGGATTTTAGGTGCACCTTGTGGTCCAAGAGTTACGGTACCCTAACGTCGGATAAGATAAGGAAGGCTAGAGGCTAACATTGAGCTAACAATGTTAACAGTGAATTAGCAAATAGTCTGCTCTCAAAATATCTCAAACAACAACTCCGTAATACATTTAAATGTATTTGTCTACTTAGCAACTGACTGTGACTCCTCTTCGCTCACCGTCTAGAATCGCCTGCTGTGTCCTTTTACGAAACACGTTCTCACACCCGAAGCGGCTAAAACTGACGATGGGTGACCAAACGTTTGTTTCCGGCGCTTTGAGAGCCCCAATGCATCAGGAGGCAACGCGCGGTGCCAGAGGGTCATTTTTAGCCGCTTCTGACACCCGCGGTTAAACGGGGATTTCATCGAATTGTGACCTTTACCCTCTTGCTATTTATCCTTTCCCTCACCCCCAGCTGAACCTTAACCCACTTGTGCATGCAAAACTTTGTTTCTAGTTGTATCACCGTCAAACGCGGTTAACGAGAAGTTTAGAAATAGAAACTGGGTTAAGGTTAGGATGGGGGTGAGGGTGAGGTTAAATAGCAAGAGATTAAATGTCGATGAAATGTGCGTTTTCCCGCGGGCTCCGGAAACCGTCGCTCTGGCACCGGGCGGAGCCTCCCGACACGTTAGGGCTCCCAACGCGTCGGAAACCAACGCTTGGTCACCCATCATCTGTGTTAGCCGCAGTTTTGTGTTATTTTGCTAAACACACGTGTGTCCTCTACTGTTTACCATTTACTTTGCATTGCATTTATGTAAAGAAGTGAATCCTTCAATAGGTGTTAATTCAAATTAAGTGCATAAACAGCTCCACTTCTGATTTAATACAAAAGAAAGCAGAAAAACTAGTGAATTTTCCTTTTTGTCCTCTAGTCTCCATATGTGACTGACATAAATCATTTAATAAAGAACTCGTGTGTAGCTGGAAGCAGAGCAAATGAAATATTCATTATTAAGCTCCACGTGTGTCCCGTTGACAGGTTTTTGACAAAAAAAACAGACGAGATAAAAAAGAAACCAGCCTTCCAGCTAGAGATTGAGCAATGGACTTGAAGGTTTTACAGGTTCTGATGCGTTTCTGAACCAAAAAGGGCAGCATGGAGTTGGAAATGATTTGATGCGAGATGAAACGCCCCCCTGTCCCCTCCAGCCTGTGATGTTACTGGGAGCTGGAGGAATGCATGACCTACAGAAGTATGCAATGAACACACACATGGAATTCCTCTGCAGATTGTTCCCAGCTTTGACATGTATCATATTATTGTGAAATGTGAATTAGATTAAAAGATTTTTTGCATGTGTGAGTTTGTTTTCTTTTTTTTTTTCAATTTTTCTTACTGTTTGTTCTACCGGAAGATTATTTTAGTGACAGGAAACATGAGCAGCTAATTTGTTATCCGTTTAGTGATGCACTATCAGGTTTACAGCTGCAAGCAATGTCCTAAGCTGCTTTTTTAAACGGGTTTGCTGCAAACACACGTCTGTTACTTCTTTGATGTGATGCATACTTTATAGACTCACTGGGAAAGTGAAAACATTCTTGGAATCTCAAATGTTTTGCTTATAAGCAAAAGCAGACACAAGGAAAATGGTGCATTCTTCACACAAATGTGGACTTTTGGCTTTTATTACTTGCAGATTTTTTAAAAAGACTGAAAGTTCACACATTTTTTCCGATATTTTTTCATACCCTTACTGTTTACGTTTGTTTCTAGACTTAGATGAATACATTTTTTTCTGGGGTTTTCCCATATCAAAAGGAATTTTAAATCAGGTACATTTTTACATCAAATCTGAAGCTCTTCTCAGCTTTTTCTGTACAAAAAAGCTCAAAATCTGCAGTTTCCACTTTACAAACACTAGATGGCAAACTTTACATCCAAATAGCACTGGATTCTAAAGGTTGCATGAAAAATGCTGAAGAGAAACTGATGGGATCTTACATACGTCCACCATGTGGTTTGAGTTAATAACCTTTTCTAAATGAATGGTGAAAAGTTTTTGATTCTATCTTGATTCACATGATAAATACTTCCTCGTCTACTTCATCCTGTAATCCATCACGAGGATTCTGCTTTTAATACATGCACATATGTGCTTTTAATACATGCACATATGATCTTGCTTTGATTTGATTTTCTCCTGAATAACGAACCTTCACGGCAATCTTATGCATGTTTCATTGTTTTTGTGAATGATAAAAACTGGGAGCCTTGCTCACCTAAAGGTCACGATGTGAAGCTACAAAAGCATGCAATCAAGCAGTGACATTGAACAGTCATGATGTCATGCATTTATTTTATTAGAGGGCTAAAAGAGTCTAAACAGCCAAGGTGAAGAGGAGAAAGCGAGGAGTTTGAAGCTACTAGGAAAAGAGGTGGAAGTAGGAGAGACGATTTTAAGCTTTGCGCCTCCCTACCTCCATAGGAGTCGTTGGCCTCTATTGTGTGGGAATCGTATTGATCAGAAGCAGGAGGGTGTGACCTAGACTGAAACAGTTTCTTGTTTGACAAAAATTTACATTAAATAAAGGAGAAGGCCTCAGGTTTCACCTTTCATCTTGTCATGTGTCTATCCCTATGTATGTATGTCTGATCTCAGAATTGTGTGTACTGAAACTCTTATTTCCCTCTGGGATTAATAAAGTATCTTTGAATTTCCGGCGCCGATAATGCAGCTCTGAACCTAATTCCAAAACGTTTCAGTCTAGGTCACACGCTACTGCATCTAATCCATACGATTCCGACACAACAGAGGCCAGCGACTCCAATGACTCCTCGGGAGTTGGGAGGAGGGGTATTCATGGGTAGTTTCTGCTTGTTAAGCAACAATAGACAGTTACAATTTATAAACTTACCCTCCCTTACTCCAGTCAATTTTGACAAAGCTCCTCGGAAGAAGCAAAACGTCTTCAAGAAACCAAAGAAGTCCATTTGCCTTCATTCAAACCCATTTGGATCTAATTTAGAACACGTTTTCCAGCAAAAACCTGATGACGTTTGGTCAAACATATTATTATTGCTGTAATGTGAGATAAATGTAGAAAATAAGCTCACAGGTGCTCACATGGTGCTCTCAAAAGTTTGGGCTTGGGCACGTTAAACACAGGTCTTAAGACTATGGTGGGCACTTAATGCACTGTGATTTATTATCGTGATTCTTCAGTTAAGCAATGTTGATTATATATTTCTTCATCAAGTTGACGCAGTGATAGCTTGATCTTGTTGTATTGTTGTTGTGTCCCTTTTTTGTCCTTTTGTTTTTTTTTTTTGTCTTTTTCTGCAGGTCTAGAAGCAGACTCTTGTTCATTGTTTATTTTTGTGGACCCCCCCCCCCCCCCTCTCTCTCTCTCTCTCTCTCTCCCCACCTTTTCTTTTCCTTTCTCTTTCACCTCTGTCTCCGTGTCTGGTCGGAATTACAAAGCATTCAACAACAATAACAATAAAGTTTTAAGTATCAGGCGTGACATTAAAAGCAGACGCTTTGATGCTCCACCTGAGAGTAAATCTGTAAGGCTTGTCACCAGCATTCAGACATCAATTCTGCTTGCTTCACAGCCAGACAGGACACGGTAAAAAAAAAGAAAAGAAAATAAGCTCATGGATTAAATAAAAACAGGGATCCTGAACTATTCTTTGATGCGCTGTACTGAAAAAGAGCCACTATAACGCGCACCAAGCTTCAAAGCCCACCACGACTGGGTCACAGAGCTTCAACAACAACAAAGATCAATGGTAGAAAACCTTTAACTCTCCTGATTCGCTACCTAACCGACCCCCCGCGTCTATTAGGACGAGTGTTACTAGTTTAGCTTGACAAGCCATGCTTCATTCACCGCGGTGACGCATGGAAAATCCCGTCAAGCCTCCATCCCACCCAGAGGGAGAGTATATTTACACAACCCCCATGTGACCTCATGCTGGCTGGGGCAGGCAGAAGAATCTGTCAAAGGGAACTCCACAGCAGCATCAGATGGTCTCGTTTAGTAGCGGCAGCCCATGTTGAGATCCTGGCTCTTGGTTCATCATCACTGAAGGTGATGGGTGTCTGTTTGCGTGAGATGTTATCTCTCCAGGTGAGTCACTGTCTTGCGGTGCCAGCAGCCATTCCCTGACTGTCTGCATCGTTTTGTCCAATGAGACGTACAGCTGTCTGGGTGCAGCTGCAGGTTGGACGCTTTAACCACGAAAGCTCGGAAATGTTTTGGAAAAAGAACAATAAAATTACCTGCTGTTACATTTTACTTATCCAATAATTCCAGACCTTCTTTGTCCGACAGCCTGGAGGTTACAACTGTGAATATTCCGTGCTGTAAAAACTAAGGCGGGGACATTCTTTCCTGTTGTAAATGCACCAGGTTGTTGGATGGTTCAGGCTTTACCTTGGCTCGTGTTTGGCTTTTATTCTGTCACAAAACCAAAACACCAAAATCTATCAAAGGTTTATTGTCATTCTATTGATGAGACACTGGAAGGTTGCAAGGACCAGTCTGGTTTCATTCAGAAACAGCAAGTTTTGATAATGAACATCATGAAAGCATGAACTAAAAACCAGTTAAAACAAAGGATCCTGTTCCAGCCGCTCAGCTGGTGGAGCAGGCATCCGGGAGCAGACATTGATACCCGGCTATCCTCTTCTGAACATAGAACCTTTAACTACAACAAAACACAACAGAGTCTCAGATCTTTTAACATGAGCAAAGACGTTCTAACCCTTGTTTAGATCACTCGTCGAACCCATTCTGGTTCAACTTCCTCACCATCAGGACCTAAATAAATCTCATGTATAATAAATAGATGATTTTGAAATAACGCAACAGTTCAAGCTATTGCTTTCAAAGTGGTTTCAGTAGCCCTTTTTACAAGACACACCGTGTCGGCAAATCAGCGTAATATTACCGCAACGGTGTGTTTTATAAATGAGCCATGCCGGTATGGCAATGTGCAAATTTTGCAGCGTTCGTTCCGCCTCACTTGGTAGTAATTTTGGTGTAATTGTCTATCTGGCCACTTATAAACAACCTAAGGCTCCCTGATGCCACTTTAGCTTTGCAGCAAATTGACGGCATTGTTTTGTAAAACTGGCTAGTGGTTCTTGAGCCATAATTTGAGGTAATTTTGCGTTGGACTGATCTGCTGAGCAGAAACTGCACTTTTGCTTTTTTGTTAGCATCATGGCTGAGCCTGGACGTAAAGTAAGAGGAGGCAAAGGAAAGAGCTAAAACCAGAGTGAACATTGCTAGTGCACTAGCTTGAAGGAGCTAAAGGAGGCTGTGAAATCACATGCTGATGGTGGCCTGGCTTTGTTGCTACTGGAATTGGAAATAGTATTTTTGTGTTCAACAGAGTGAATCTTTTATTTTGTGCATCATATGACTTGTGTTAGTGTTAGCTCGTTGGTAGCACTAGCAGGCTGCAACAGGGTTGTTTATGACTGTTGTAATTCCACTTTCCACCAGCAGGAGGGAGAAGTGAAAACGTATTTAGTGTGGCTTTAAATGACTAGTGAATAATTGTTAGTACTGCTCAAAAAGTCAACTAACTCATCACTTCACTATCAAAAGCACTACTCATAACTTCCACACTAAGTATTCAGATTTGCAGATCTGTGAATCATTTCCAAGTGCTGAATGGTGAAGAGCAAAATCAAAAACGTTGATTTCTCTCTTATTTTTCATTTCACTACCACATCCCTGGCTCTTACTTTACATTCTCTGATGTTTGGGTGAATGACCACTTCCATTTCAACCCCTGATGACGTTCACTTCAACAGAATAAAGTTTTTTTATTTTATGGTGAAAGATATTTGCTGGGAAAAGCTTCAAGAAAACCAGCAACTGGAGTGTGATTGATTAATTCTGTCTGACTCAGCTTAGCTCATCGCTTCTGTGCTCCTTTTATCCTGTCTTCCACTTTTTGGCATCACTCTGTGAGTCCTCTGTGTGTGTGTGTGTGTGTGTGTGTGTGTGTGCGTGCGTGCGTGCGTGCGTGCGTGCGTGCGTGTGTGTGTGTGTGTTTTAACAGAGTAAGAACATCCTAAACTTAAACATCATTCATACGCAGAAAGAGCCAGAAGATTCCTAGGAGCTCTCGGACTTTTCCACCCATCGGCCATTTATAGTAATGAGAAACAGGTTCCAATAGGTTCACTTCACTGTTCCTGTATGTGCTCATATTTCCAGATATAGGACAAAGCAGACTAACTGAGATGGTTTGTGTGAGTATTAGACTCGTGACAGCAGCACATGTGTGTTTGCACAGACGTGTTTGACTGGCATGGGATTATTTTGTGTCCTAACC